CACGGGATGACCGGCTCACTTCCCGAAGTGATTCTGATCAAGAAGAGCTACGATGAGCAGAGGGAAAGAAAAAAGAATAAGCCTCGTTCATGGAAGCTCAAGTCGCTGCCGATCGAAACCAGTGATCCTAGAGGCAGAGGCGGTGAAGAGAAGATGAGCAAGGAATACGAAGAGTTCTTGAGGGATCTTGAGGAGAATCCGGAACTTAGGTTTAACGTATCCTTGTACCGGGACAAGGATTATCAGCCCTCTGAAACGACTTCTATGACCGACGGGGAAGGTGCTCCTTCTGTCCCGATCGAAGAGTTGCTGATAGATCTCAAGCTCAGCGACGAGTAAGAGGAAGAAGACGAGGATGAGGAGGACATGGAGGAATAGTTTTTGTCTTCATTTGCCAATTGCAGTTCAAGAATCAGTTCAGTTTAGTCCCATTATAGTTTCTGTAAGAGTTATATTCTACATTTTCGTCGTGTCTTGTAAGAGAATCAGTTCAGTTTGATGAAATTTCTGATACATTGGCCAAACCACGGAAAATTCTCGAACTTCCCATGAACAGAAAAAAAAAACAAAAGCTTAAAATACAACAAAATGTGGATATATCAAGCAATAGTGGGCTGAGCCCAAAACATGGGCTAGGCTCGTTGATTGTAGATGAGCCCACAATTGCGTTATTGCCCATTAGTTAACTATAGACTAGACGTTACGGCCCATTATTTATCATAAACTCGTAATTTTAACCTTAAATATATAAATACTCATCCTATAAATATAAGAGTTCTTCTTATTTAAATCAAGATAAGATGGTGTTGGTTTTAAAGAATTTATTTCTATATGGCTGGAATAAAAACGAAATTAGGTAGTCTTTTTATTTTATTTAGCCGAAGGCTGTTACTAAAATATGATTAAATTAGGTAGCCATTATTCACATAACCTCTTTACATCCCTAATAAAAGTTTAAATAAACTCAACATTATAACCGCTATTATAATTAAATTATGAGGGGAAACTCCTTAGAACCCAAGAAAGCTCAAAATCAACTCTAGGTCGTACGTTTCTAAATAGTTTTATCCATTTTTCCTTTGTTTAGTTAAAAAGATCGCTCTTGGATTGCGACACGTGAAAAAAAGGATATCTCACCTCCAATTGGTTAAGATTTATATACATGAGGGTGTGTGTGTGTGTGTATATATAAGCAATTATGCATGCATGAATGCATGCTTGCGTGCATCAATATACGTGTGCATAATGTTATAATTTATACCATTAAAAAGACCAAGCGAATGTAGACGCTTGATGTACTTTTATTTATAATTTTAATAGTTATATCTTTTATTTTTGTGCGAGCCTACAACAATGTCTATTTTGTTTGAAAAAATGAAGAAATAGTACAAACGTTTGAAGATGAATTTAAGATACATGATCATACGGACAGAATGTCCGATTTCTGATCACCATATGTATGGATAGATTCTCATGACAATATAGTAACCGATAACATTTTCTATGGTTCCTCTCCCCACCTATACATATATTTACATCAGATGGTTGAATAGTTGCGTGGAACACCGAAAATGTTAATACAAAATACGATTTTAAGTTGAGTGTGGATTTCGTAAATGTAACTTTTAATGGTGACATTTTATGCGAAAATCATGAATCTTGTTTCATCCATGGAAAAACAAATTATATGGGTAATGAATGAATGATATTTGGTAAATAAAATCCTTTCCAATGTATCAGTATCAATTATATTGTATGGCCATTTGACGGATGTATTTAGTCTCGTATTTAGTCTCGTATATATATAAAATAAAAAGAGAGAGAAAGCTAGTTCATACAATTCGCAAATTTGTTGTTAATTTGTCACTAAACCCTAATGATGTAGCTAGCCTTTTTTTCCATTAAAGCACAAAAAAGACTTGAGAATTAAGGGTTGCATGGGTAGGTTAGTTTTCGAATCACGGACCTAACTTAACAGTATGACATTCCTCTTAACCTTGCATCATTATATAGATGCCAAAATGTCTTGTCTTCCTCATATAATTAATTTGATAATATATATATATATATATAGGCACATCAGCTCTGACTATTTTTCAAAACACTATTTGGTTAGATAACGGATATATCACGAAATGCCTGAAATTGGGTTTTGTTAGGTTAACAACCTTTTGGTGAGCTTTTGAGCCCTTTGTTTGGAAACTGCGGTTCACAAGTCGCTGAAAAGAGGGAGAGAAAGTGTAAAAAAGCAATAGTCATTTCGCATACTTATAGTCTCTACATACATATATATGTACGTAGATGTCTCTATTATGATCCATGAAATTTACATAAAAAAGTGCATTCAAAACAATTACTTATCAACCAACGTTATACACTTTTTCCTGTATTGTGGGTAGATGTCGAGATTATGTATGGATCTAGAGGACTGATACACTGTTTGCCGTTTTGAATTTGTTTGTGTCACGAATATACATTGGATCTAGAGGCGATGATATATGTGAACTAATGTAATTTCGAGTTGGACCGTTCTATATGTAATTGTTGAATTAGGGTTCGCAACAGTTTTGTTACTAAATGATAAATTCCTAGCTTTTTACTACTTAGATTATTCCGTTTAGTTTATAACAGTATGAATTTCTTCTCTTATATGGGATGGGAAGCACTAGGTTTTGAAAGAAAATAGAGTGATCGAATTTCCCCCAACGAATATATATCAAACATTATCGTACGTATAACCTATGTCTCTTATATGAATAAATTCTCGAGTTCGTCACTTGTGAAGGGATCGATCATGCATGCATGTATAAGTTTTAAATTAAGAGAAAGAGGAGATGTGAAGGAACATGAATACGTGATGCATGAGAGGGAGGTTTAATCGGAAGGTTTGGTGCATGAGAGCGCTACGAAGTCTCTTTTTTTATATATATGTAAATAAATATATATATATATATACACACACATGAATATATTCATATAGGCCTAAATCATGTGCACGTGTATACATTTATTATTATATAATTGATTAACTGTTGATCTGAATGAGATATGAATTTATTATCAGATTTGGGATCTACTTGGAAAGAGAATTTATATTCTCAGGTACAATGCCGTGAATTTATGAATGATTCTCACTGAATTAGGTCTCAGAAATTACTTATATCCAATGAAATCCCACATTCGAATTTCAATTTACTTGTATATGTATATGTCTATCAATAATGAAATTAACGCATTTTCAACAACAATGTTAACCATATATGCATTTGTTATATATAGATCAATGCTATTCAATATATATATCATGCATACTTTTACAACTTAATAATTTGTTAGAGAGTTATACCTAAATATATCTACACGAAACTGATATTCGTATGGACAAATTCATAGTGGATAAAGAGAGAACAAAATTACAAAAACAATAAGAGGAAAATTAGATTGAAAGGATAAAGAATGAAAAAGAAGAAGGGAAAAGAATTAAAACCCTAAAGCATGTTGCTGATCCGGCAACAGACATCACTAAGGACAGCAACCAATGTCCAAACTATATGTGTTTTTACTTCATCGATCATTCCACTCACTATAAATTCACTTCATCTCCTCACTGTTTTGTTCATAATTAACAAAATAAACATTCGCATTTCTATAGAGTTTTCATATAATCCCTTCTCTGATCTCTCTTTCACTTACTTTGCGACATTATATCACTCTTTCAAAAACATGTGTATAGCGAAATCATACTCCAAATCCCCACCCAAGGTTGCTCTTTTGTGATTTCTGTATTCTTGCAATTACATTCATGAGCTTGTATATATATATATATATATATGTATGTGTGTGTGTGTGTGTTCAAATGCCATGCTATATATATATACACACACATGTATATATATGCGCATATATAGGTAACATGAAAGTTTTTTTGACAAATTTTCTCTCTTTTTTTTTTATGGGAAAAGTTTGGAAAAACCAGTCCACCTTCGTCTGTGATCTCCCTCGGTTCCAATGGCAAAGGAATGGTGAGATACACATTCAAACCAGCTATTGTATTATGTAGGGTACATTACAGAATGAAAATACGCGATTAGTGCACATGTTTATATTGCACATCTTAGTGTAACTTACAAGTAAAAAAATGCACATTTATATAAGTTTACAATGACATTTATCTACATAATAGAGAGCTTTATATACATACATACATACATATATATATATATAAGAAAGTTAAGCTTATTTAATTTGGGATATATATATATATATATATATATATTTGTACCTTTTCATTTTAAATTTTTCTTCCGAGTATACATTTAAAACATCTTTATATATTTTTTTTTACCAAAAAACGTCGATATATTTGATGGTCCAATATAAAAAAAAATGTCACTATTTACTTCTTCAATATGAACCCCGTGTGACACACGTTGACTTCCCGTATGAATTTATACTATATATTTGACTTATTCATCACTACTAGCTATTACTCAAAAACCGCAAGTGCATTTAGATATTATGTCATTGTTAGCTCGTAATTAATGGAGCTCATAACGCAAATTAAAATACAATTCTTAGAATATGTACTCTAATAATATATATATACATAAATATATATATATATGTGCTTATAGATTTCAGAAGCATTATGAGAGCTAATATGGAACTTAAGCTAAAGTGTTATGGCTATGATTATGTATTGGATTCCAAAAGTTGCTTCTGTTACAACTACTCGGTCTTTTAATTACTCCCTCCGTTTCAAAATATTTGTAGTTTTAGGTTATTTTCCATGTTTCAAAATATTTGTCATTCTACATTTTCGAGACATTTTTTTACAATAGTTTCCAATTTTATCCCTATCAAATTCCAATAAATTATTAATGATAACATTATTTTTATCATTAAATAAGGGCAAATATGACCTTTTATTTTTTTCTTAAAAAATGTGAAAAATCCTAAAACTACAATTAATCTGAAACGGAGAAACGGAGGGAGTATTTTGAAATTCAGATTTAATGCTCTTTCCTCTTATGGCTCCTTAACTTTTTGCTAAATTTATCGGTCAAATCTTATCATTTATGTCAAAAAGCTGTGTAATTAATTAATTATTTATATTGTAGGTTAAAGTGGAGCCCAAAGACAAAAACAAGCCCACGGCGGCTAAGGTATATAAACCTCAAATATGCTAACAAATAATATTATTTATATATGAAAGTGTGAAAAAAAAAATTTAAGATATGGAATCGTAATATAACATAACAATAATTTGCTCCAAAAATTATTATATATATATATATATATATTCATACATATTATATTTTTTTATATTTCTGACTAAGTGAACCATTGTCTTCGCTAATTATTTATATACCATAACCTTGTTTAACGTATGGGACCCTTCGTATAGAATTTTTGCTTCATACCATGAACTGTATATCCTGGATTGTACGTACGTACGTATGTATTTATAGTGTGAAAAATACGTATATACGTACACACAAATCAAAGCTTAGTCTCCAATACAATTATATTTATTTAATTTATACAACTTCATGTTAAATTAAATAAAGAGCGTTACTAAGCCACCGGCGAAAGAGAACACAAAGCCTCTTGATTTCAAGCTACGTACCGGGGAAAGAGCTGTGAAACGTGCCATGTTCAATTATTCGGTCAGGCTGCTGTTCTTATTATTTTTCATTAAAGTTTTTATTAATTAATTTTATTTTCCACGTGTAACCTATAAATCCAGTTTCGAAATAATTAATTAGACCGAATTCAATGCAAAATCATTGCAGGTCGCAACTAAGTACTACGTCACGGAGCTACAGAGAAAGCAAACCGAAAAGCTACAAAAGGTACGCGCGTTTAGATATCAACCTGCAGCCTAAGAACAATCCTAAACCGAAACAAACCGACTTTGAACCGGAAGCTTAACCCGGTTAAGGACAAACCATTGACTCTCAGATGATTGAAGAAGAAGAGATTCGTCTCTTGAGGAAAGAAATGGTTCCAAAAGCTCAGCTGATGCCTTTCTTCGACCGGCCTTTCCTTCCACAAAGGTCAGTCTTAACAAAAAAAAAACGATTTTTTTTTCTGCTTTCGTTATTCGAATCTGCGGTCTGACATTTGTTGTAATGATTTTCCGGCAGATCGAACCGGCCGCTGACAATGCCGAAGGAACCGAGCTTCAAGAGCTTAAACAGCACTTGTTGGAGCTGTTTCTACAACAACAACAACAGCTACCTCTACCATTTCCAACATGCTCATGCTTGAACTTGAAGTCACTAGTTCGTTTAGAGGGTCTCGTTTGCTGTTCTCTTTTTTGTCCCCTCTTTGGCCAGTTTCTATCTCTATGTTTTGGTGACCTTATCAGCTGTGTAGATGAAAAATAAACTTGATCTTTGGTAATCTTTCTTGGCTCGCAAGCAACCATGTTTTCTTTGATCTATTCCTCATTTAACGATTGTCATCTAACGTCTTTCATGACAATTAGAAATTTTATGACTTAAAACGCTAGAATCCTTGCACTGACCGAAAACAGCAAGACTCTGTGTTATTAGAGCCAAACATCAAAAGTACAAGGTCGCATTTTTGCAGGGCTGAAAGCATTGCTGTCCAGCGTCAGTAAGATTCTCCGAATGATCCTCTTCGTTTCCGCTTCCAAGCCATTGATTGTGCTAATCCTATGAATCAAACCCGACACGAATCTATACTCTTCGGCTTTATACGTTTTGACTTCATCCCCCACAGAGAATCCGATCTTCGTCAACGCTTCCCTTACAAAACTCTGATCCGTTCATCCGTCCACGAGCCTGGTCAGAGATTTGAGCATATGAAACGCAAGATTTCCGACCAAATTCACCCGCATCGTCCTACACAGCTGAATTGTCATTGCGAAAGCGCTGGAGAAAGACAGAATCCATTCTCCTGACCCATTTGACGATTCTAACCGATTCAAGATCCCGGGAAAAAGGCTTCTCACCGCGTGACTCGTGAACTCTTCCTTGTCCAACTGATAGGGTAATCTCTGGAACACGTAGACGACCTTTTTGGAATCGATTTCGGCCCTCGAGGTTATGTAATCGCGTAGATCATCCCAAACCGATTCATGACAGATGAATATGAAGTAGGCCACGATGGACAAACGAGCTGTGCCAGCTCCTTGAACACCTTCACCCTTGTCCCTTGCTCCTCAAGGCAAGAAACCAGCCTCTTCCCGAGTTCCAAGAAACCAGCCTCTTCCCGAGTTCTTGGAGGACGGAAAGAGGCAAAAACTTGGATTTTTTGCCCACGTGATATTAGAGATATTCATAATATCTTAGTATATATTCTATATCACACATAATCAGGAAAGTTGATATTAGAGGCAAAAAGGCATGTTTCGGGTATTTGTGCCAAACCCTAATTTCTAGACGGATTTATATCACCTGTGCCGAGTTTTACACACGTCTAAAATATCCCTTTTTAAAATTACTTACACAAAAACCTAGGGTTATTATTCTCGTAGCCTCACTCGGTTTCCAACTTTCCCTCTCACCTCTCACGATTCCTCTCTCTTCTTCCCTCAACTTCACTTTTCGACTTCCCTCTCCGACGGCCCCAAATCGCCGTTCTCATCCTCTGTCGCAGCCGTTAATCTCTTCCTCCGTCGATTTCCGAGGTAAGCATGCATGTTTCTGTCGATTTCTGTCGTTTTATTTCGGTGAGCATTTATGGATCGACTCCGTGCAGTTTATTCTGATTGACGGTGACTATTCGACCCATATCTGCATCTCCATCTCGCTTCTCTTCAAGTTTAGGGATTCCTGTGTAACTGTGTTTTCGATTTCTTGGCTTTTTCTGCTCTGAGTTTATGCATATTGCTTGACAGGTTGCTTTGGAACATATAGTTTGTATTTCCCTTTTGAATATATTTCTGGGTACTTTCCCTTTTGATGTAATTTTCTTGCTTTTCTCTCTTTGATGTTGCAGAGTTTAACGATGAATCAACAATCAGGCATGTTCACCGTTCATCAAACTGTCGGCAGCGTTCTGTGCTGCAAGTGCGGTGTTCCCATGGCACCGAACGCCGCCAATATGTGTGTGACTTGTCTCCGTTCTGAAGTCGACATCACGGAAGGATTGCAGAAACAGGTTCTGATAATCCATTGCCCCGAGTGCGATTGTTACTTGCAGCCACCAAAAACTTGGCTCAAAGCTCAATGGGAATCGAAGGAACTCTTGACTTTCTGCGTCAAGAGGCTGAAGAATCTGAATAAGGTGAGGTTGGTTCACGCTGAATTCGTTTGGACAGAGCCTCATTCCAAGAGGATCAAGGTTAAGCTGAGAGTTCAGAAAGAAGTTCTCAACGGTGCGGTTCTTGAGCAAGCTTACGTTGTCGAATACACGATAAGAGACCAGATGTGTGACCCGTGCTCTAGAATTCAGGCTAACCCAGATCAATGGATTGCCTCGGTTCAGCTCCGGCAGCATGTTCCTCACCGACGGACCTTCTTCTATCTAGAACAGCTGATACTGAAACACGATGCAGCTTCTCGGGCCATCAGAATACAGCAGGTAGATCAGGGTATCGATTTTTTCTTTGGGAACAGGAGTCATGCTGTTAACTTTGTGGACTTTCTGCGTAAACTTGTTCCGGTTGATTATCGCCATGACAAGAGCCTGGTCTCTCATGATTCCAAGAGCAACAACTACAACTACAAGTACACTTTCTCCGTTGAGATCTGTCCCATTTGCCGCGAGGATCTTGTCTGCTTGCCACAAAAAGTGGCCAGCAGTTTGGGAAACCTTGGCCCGACCGTACTTTGCACTAAGGTATCCGACAGTATCACTCTTCTCGATCCTATAACCTTACGGCATGCTTTCTTGGATGCAAAACAGTATTGGAGATACAGATTTAGATCCGCATTCACCAGCAGACAGCTCATGAAGTACTTTGTCTTCGATGTGGAACCTCCAGTCGGGGAAGTAACTGCCGGTGGAACAAAGTATGCTCTGTCCTATGCCCAGGTGGCTCGTGAATCGGACATCGGTAAGATCTTTTACATCCTAACACATCTAGGCCATATCTTGAAACCCGGGGATCAAGCTCTGGGCTATGATCTCTATGCGGCTAACGTGAACGACAATGAGCTGGAGAAGCACGGGATGACCGGCTCACTTCCCGAGGTGATTCTGATCAAGAAGAGCTACGAGGAGCAGAGGGAAAGGAAAAAGAATAAGCCTCGTTCATGGAAGCTCAAGTCGCTGCCGATGGAAACCAGTGATCCTAGAGGCAGAGGCGATGAAGAGAAGATGAGCAAGGAATACGAAGAGTTCTTGAGGGATCTTGAGGAGAATCCGGAACTTAGGTTTAACGTATCCTTGTACCGGGACAAGGATTATCAGCCCTCTGAAACGGCTTCTATGACAGATGGAGAAGGTGCTCCTTCTGTCCCGATCGAAGAGTTGCTGGTAGATCTCAAGCTCAGCGACGAGGAAGAGGAAGAAGAAGACGAGGATGAGGAGGACATGGAGGAATAGTTTTTGTCTTGAATTTGCCCGTTACAGTTGAAGAATCAATTCAGTTTGGCCCCTTATAGTTATAGTTTCTGTAAGAGTTATATTCTACATTTCTGTCGTGTCTTGTAAGAGAATTCAGTTCAGTTTGATGAAATTTTTGATACATTTCACATTATCAGACTGAGTAAACTCGAGAGCTCTGTTTTTGCATCTGAGAAACTGAAAATGTATGAAAACAAAAAGTAGATCTAGTAACAAAGCGATTCAATGTCCCAGTATCTTTCTTGAAGAATCCGTTTAATGGTCCTCACGGCTGCCTTCGTATCTTCCCCTGTTCCTTTCATGCTCTCCATCTTCAACACTAAATTCGATACGAAGCTGTACTCTTTCTTGCGGAATCTATCCACTTCTACATCCATCTTCTGCATCAGCTTCCGTAGACCACTTCGAACCGTTGCTTCCTTCCCGTTCTTGACGAGATCACTTGATGAACTCAGAATCGCGTATGAAATATTGCCACTCAAGTCATCTCTCCTCGCGTTCACGAGCATAATCGCTATAGTCAAACCAGATTCCAATGCCAAGATCCATTCTTCAGTACTGCAGCTTTGTGAATTCAAACATTTTAAGATCAGAGGGAAGAGTTTCTTCACGATCATCATCAATGAATCTTCGTCCAAGATAGCCGGCAAGGCGTTGAAAACCGATAACGCTTTCCACAGATCGTGGCCCGTGAGCTCTGTGATGTAGAGACAGAGCTCGTCCCAAGTGTTATCCAAGAGAAACACGTCGAGGGCAACAAAAAACATGATTTTCGAGAGGATCTTGAAGTTGGCATCGCTGATTTCTTGCACGACAAGGCAAGAGACAAGAAGCTTCTTGATGTCTGGAAAGGCCTCGGGAGCTAACTGGATACGAGCGTGGTAGAGATGGTCGAGATGGGTGTGGAGGAGAGTGAGGCACTGAGATCGGAGAGCGAGATCATGTTCCGAGAATTTATACACCTTAAGAAGCGTTAGGGTCAAGCAGTTCGGGAAATTCTTGGAGCAGAATCTGTATAGATTCTTAGCAGATTCTCCGTCTCTGTCTCGGCGGCAGAACTGAGAGAGGAAAGTGGCTGCGTTGTTGTGGTCAGGCTGCGCGAGAATCTTTTCGGCTCTTGATACGAGAGAAGACTCCATATTTTCCCGGAATGCTGAGAAAGTTGTTCTCTTTTCCCGAGAAAATGCAAGAAAATCTTGTTCAATGAGAGAGAGGACGAACAAGGAAATTGATTCGACTAGATAATGTAGATCTAGTAAAAGAGGGTAGATCTAGTAAAAGAGGTCCGTACCTGGGTTCAGATCAACGCTGGTGATCTTGATCCGGCCTTTTCGCAATCCTTGGTACGATATTGGTTTAGAATTTGAGAATAGTTTTCAGTTATATACGTCGAGGCATCTCCGAGGTTGATCGGCGGTGGCCGGAGATCAGCCGGAAAACTCAGCCGGTGGTTGACGCTGTCAATTGATCCGTCGATGTTGGATGTAAAGTTGTTTATTTGTAGATTTATGTCTTCGGATTCTGCGGATACTCCATGCCAAATCGCCAATGAAAATGAAAATTTTCACATGGGTATGTATGTATGTATGTATGTATGTATGTATGTATGTATGTATGTATGTATGTATGTATGTATGTATGTATGTATGTATGTATGTATGTATGTATGTATGTACGTACGTACATGCTTAAAGATAAAGATCATGTTTGGTTATTAAGAGAACATATATATTACCATAAAAATGGAAGGGGTATTGAAATGTTCAAAGTCGTGAACTTGTGTTTCCGTTAGGAGCAGCCCTTTTCTCCGTTTGCTCGGAGAATCTTCGCTGATTTCGCCGGCGGAATCGTTGGAGGAATGAAGTTTGGGTGGCAATGGGGATTGGGGATTTGGGTCCTCTTTATGTTGGGCAATTTCTTCGAGCCCGGCAATTTTGCGTTTTCGATCCAGAGAGAGAATCCATACTCAGACCTTGAAATGGAGGAAGAAGGCTGATCAAGTTGTAAAGGATGCGCTTTTACCGTTGTAGAATGGAGTGTGGTTCCACGGAAGATGCTTTGAAAGTGTTCGATGGAATTCCTCAGAGAAAAACCGTTTCTTGGAATTCGTCTATTGCCGGGTGGTATGAGATGCTTGATCCGTTCAGGAAGATTCCGGAGGAAAGGATTGGGTTTGATCCAAGGAAACAATACTATAGATTCATCTGTACAGTAATGTAAGCACATTCAAGAGCCATTGCATTTTGTTTGTTCTACAACATCCTCATTATCATAACACTTCACTTGGCAATGAGCAGATGCCAAATTTGATGATTCTACAAAAATCATTTGCTGGCTATCGGTGACGGAGGCTATATGATCTTCTCGTTTCTGAAGAGGTAAGCAAATTGTTCTTTATCTCTTCCGGAATTCTGTAATCAGGATCTTTAAGGTTGTCCTCATCATCAGACAAGTCCTCATCAATCCAGGATGACCAATCCACCTCACTGTCGCTCCATGTAGAATCTGTGTTGCTCTGAATATCGTTAACCTTTTCTACTAGCCTTAACAAAATCTGGTGGTTTAATACTTCATAGTCCCTGCATTTTTGTCCAAGATTTGTCTTCAGTTTCTGAGATAAAGACTCTGCTAAATTTACTTTATGATACTTGTAGATTGTCGGTCATACCTGTATGTGAAAACTGCATAAAGAAGCTGAGTTGAAGCAAGAACGGCAAAGAGGGACCTGACGAGAGTCGTCATCCATGCCTGCTGTTCTGTGTCGTTCATGAGACGGAGAGTCATCACTTCTAACACCAGGGTGATGCCCAAACCTGCATATGTAAGGTTTAAACTTTGCCATGGAGTTTATTTATTATGAATATGGCATGAGAAACCCCAAAAAATAAATGATACTTACCGATGTAAAGCCTTGGCCTTATAGTGTAAGTTTGTTTGGTACTGGTAAACATGTAGATGACGAAGATCGACATGAAGTAGATGAAGAAGGCCTTAATCAACCGTGATTCAACAAGCATCGCATTGTGCAAAGCGAATAACTTATCCAGAGCTATGAACATGCTTGCTTGTTTCGCCTCAAATGCTTCCTGTGCTGCCAAAATCGATTTGGAGTTTTCAAACAGGTGATCATGAACCTGCTGAAGCTGTTCTTGCCTCTTGACAAGCTCCTCCTGCTGTTTCTGGCTATATTCTGCTAACCTTTCCAAGGTATTCCTACAAAATTTGGTGACAGTTTCGGTTAAAACCCTTTTGAAGAATGCTTGGTTTTGATCAAGAATCTACCTATGTTACCTGCTCTCTTGCAGTGCCTCGGACTGAAACTGGGTTAGAAACTGAAGACCCTCGAGAGCCACCGACTGCCCATCTAGAAGCATCTGTTGCTTATCCAGAGAACTACCGGCCATAGTCCCGATATCATCTGTTTTCCTCTGCAGATCATTCATCTTGGAAGATATCGAACTCCCGAGTTTGGTAATCTCCCCCTCAATCTCATGCGTTTCGTTCTTTAATTTTTCGATTCCTTCCCCGAGATTATCGTATGCATCACTGAGCATGTCCATCCCATCCTTCAAGGTCTCACTCATCTTCTCTTGTCCTTCCCTTAGCACCCCTTGTGATTCTGCAATTTTCTTTGCTTCTCGATATATTTCATCAGCTTGCTGAGACAGTCCACTCATATGAGTTTCGAGGGTGTTTGTCATCTGAGCCACACCTTGAACTCGGAGATCTATCGAGCCTAAAGATTCGTGGATCACACTCGATCTCTCCATCAGAACATCAGATTTCTTCTCTAGGATATCCAGTTTATCCTCTGTATCTTCCGCGGACTTTCTCAGCTCATTCACTAGCCTCTCTATGTCGTTTTTGAACGCATAGCTCCTGCCACGTAAAGAAACCGAGGTAAGTGAATACATTAACATCTTCTCCAGAAATACCGAAACCATTGATTATATCAATGCAGAAAGACTGAAAAGAAGTAAAAAAAAAAAGGGTTGAGGTTCTTACTGTAATTGGTAGCAGATAGTGTTGGTTTCGAGCAAGAACTCGAGATAGATCTTGTGTTCATGGTCATCTAGTTTCTGGATGCAATTCACCATTGTGGATTTATCACTGCAGGTCGGGAAAGCTCTTCTTCCCGAGTCCCGAAGGAAGCAATCGCTCAGATGCCAAGCGAATCGCTTCCTCTTCTCTTCGGTGGCCACAATCTCCTTGCAACCAGAGAAGAGATAGGCGTAAGCATTCTGCCAGCAACTGTTCGGACCCACGAGCTTAGTTTTGGCGTTTTCAAGGGCTCGGACCGCTTTCCGATCACTGAACACTTCCATGGAGAATTCAGAATTGGAGCGGTGAGTTTTAGGGCAAGAAGAATCTGTGTTTTCATGGCGAGTTCCGGTTTCTGCAGAAGAAGATGAGAACCAGCCCCAGCAATGGCAAATGGTGGAATCCGAAAGTATAATCATCAGAAACAGAAGACCGCATCTGCTCATCCAAACCATTTTGATCTGTCTCTCGGATTTTCTCTGCTTGTTTTTCCTTCTGGAGAAAAATGTGTAACCACCTGAAGCGGCACAAAGAGAGATGAACAACTTTGATCAAACTCTTCAAGCAGCGTGTCTGTATAATATATATATGAAAGCTTGGGGCGCAAGTTGAAGAAACACTGAAAATCTCCGTACGTAAAAAAGGGTGTTATTATGTGGAGACCTCATGTAATTATGCATTAATTAATGCAATTAAAGAATTGCAGTTTAAGGATGGATTATTAACTGATCCATCTTTTGAATAAAATAGAAAGAATAAACCCTTTTAAGAACCTCGTTTATGTTAGGGTTTACGTGACATTCTATGATTAAAAAAAAGGAAAAATCTGTAATTTCCTTAATTTTCTAATCTTGCGAAATTAGAAAGCGTGTTTATAGAAAACCCAGAAAAAAGGAAAATAATCATCTTTAAGAAATTGATGAATAAGAGCATTGAAACACGAAAAAGAAAACACATCCAGAAGAGATTTGAACAAATATAAAAAAAATTCCCAGAAAAAATCGAAAATAACACAACAGAAAAACAACAACAGAGGTTGAAAAAGTATTATTACATATTTATATATGTATATATCAAATTATCTATATAGAAAAATAAAATAAAAAAGACACTACCTTTGAGAGAGAGAGAGAGAGGTTTCAGACAGAGAGTAGTTGCAGATGGTTTTTATAAAAGAGACTAGACTTTTTGGTTTTGTTCGAAAGGGAAACATGCGACAACGAAACGTTGTGTTTTTTTTATAACCAAAATAAGGCGCCTTTTACAAACAGAGATAACCGTTTCAGATTCTTAGCATTTAGCAAGTTTCGTAATATAAAACCGGTTATTTTTCATTCGTTTTGGTTTTACTCAGTACGGATCCGATCGATTTTAGTAACACTATTTCTTAGAAAAGCCCCACACTTTTGTTGCAAGTCACTGGAGAGTAAGTAATAATTCATAAATTTAGAAAGAAAAAAAAAACACAGGAGAAGACATAACTCAAAGCTTCAAAGTGAGATCTGGAACGACAGAGCTGTCCATCTCAAACGGTTGCTTGGCCTCCAAGAAACCGACTTTACTGTTGTTTCCGCCATTGGCGACAGCCGAGCTCCCATTCCCCTCCACATCTTGCCTGAAACTCCCCGGCCATAGCAACTCAGCCTCTTCCTCCTCCACGAAGAACGGTATGCAATTACCGAAATACCCCTGGTTGAACCTCCTGATCATCGCCGCCGCCTCCTGAGGCGGCCTGATCTGGGCATGGTGAGACGACGAGTGGGCTTTGATCCCGAGAGCCCTAAATGACGTGCCGGAGTAGTTGCTGTTGTTGCCGTTAAGGGGAAGGCACGAGAGAGAAGCGTAGCTGTTGGCGTTGAGAATGCCTAAACCCATGCGCATGGCGCGTTTGGCTAGCGTTCTCTCGCGTTTGTGCGCGTTCTGGTGGCCTCCAAGGGCCTGGGAACTGAAGAACTTTCTCTTGCAGTAGTTGCAGGAGAAGACTCTCTTCGAACCAGAGGGTTGCTGCTGCTGTTGTTCGGTTGTGTTGTTGCTGCTCTCGCTCGTGCTCGATAATGGAAGTCCCAGAGAGGAGGATTCATCTGGGTTCCCGCCATTGTTGTTGAAACAGAGACTCAGATTCAGAGAGATCTCTGGGTCTGATGAGTTGCAGATTGCTCTGTAGTCTTCGCCATGGACGAAGAAGGTTTCTCGAACGGACAAGTTCGAAGCGACCTGACTGCTAGTGTCTGAACGATCGTTATCTGACGAAGCTTCGATTTCCAGATCGATCATGGGTTTCATCATGTTTCTGTGTCGGAAGCTCACGTACGTCCCTTGATTTTTGGAGCTTCTCTGTTCCTGTTTTCCTGGGAACCAGTCTATTCCCTGTGAATGATTTTCGGGGCATTAAAAAGAGTGTAAATAATCCAATTTCACTTCTCAAATCAGTTTTTTTTTTTATGAACCTGTTTATTAACTATTTGTATACGGAACAATTATTATTATTATATATATTATTATTATTAGAAAAAACTCATATAAAGCATCCAAATTTCCTGTAATTGCTAAATTTAGAAACTTGGTCCAAAATAAAAATGAAGTATTATTATACGTTGAAAATGGACTATACATTTTGAAAATTTTAGATACCAAAATTATATTCAGAGCATATAGTTGTGGTTTTGGTATAGTTCAAAGTCGATATATATTGCCTATAAAAAAAACATAGGAAATAGAAGGAGTGAGGGCAGAAATTGGGGTGTGACAAAACTCAGACATGATGGTCTAAGTGAGTCAACGAGCAGACAACATAAGAAATGCCAAATATAGTACTGACACGACCATCAATCATTCACATACAACAACAACTTGAATCCTTTGATTCTTCAAAATAATTAAAACTTAAAAAATAAACCATCCTTTTTAACGTTTCTAACTTTTTACTCGGTTAATTTATTTCCTTCATTGTAAATATTTTATAAATGAAAATTGATATACAAAATTAGCTAGCATGCTTATGGGGAAAAAAAATCTACTGACCCTACTTATCAATCTTGTTCTAAATTTAAATCACTAGAAAACACACTCATATTCATATAATGGAAAAAGATTTAGTTACGATTAATCCGTTTTAAATTTGTTTCGTGTAATAATTTAAGATATATCATCAAAGAAATATATATTTACTTTTAAAAGGAAAAATAGTTATTTCTAGGGCATCCAATGTTTCCATGGAAGAGTTAAACTAAAACTGCCGACATAAACCAGGGACATATATGTCAAAAAAGTTTTAGGGTTTTCCCCAAATGTAGCTAAAGAAATTGTCCGGATTATAAAAAATTCCAATATTTGTTAGATAGATACGCATATATGTAATATTTAGAACAAAAAAGAAAATAGAGATTGAGATAGAGATAAGAGCTAAAACATGTACAAATACAACACACGCCGACACACACATATCAACAACATAAGATACAAGAATCATTTTCAAACTTGAGGATCCCTGATTTTCAGAATCAAGGGTAGATGAATAATAATTATATATGGATGAGAAAAATAAAAAAAAAATAAAGGAAGACGAAGTTGTGGTTTGAGGATCCATACCTTGTGACGAAGAAGAGGTGAGTACTGTTGGTTTGGGAACTAAGAAGACATGGAGGGAGGCGGGAGGCTATGATCCTCTCTCTGTAGCTCCCATGGAGGTTTTGTTACATAGAAAAAAAATCATAAAACGAAGAGAGAATTAAAGAGCCAAAAACATAAAAGAACCCACGAGAGAGAGAGAGAGAGAGAGAGAGAGAGAGAGAGAGAGAGAGTGGTGGGTATAGTGTTTGATGTTTAATTATGGGAAAGCTAAGGAAGAGAGTGAGAGTGGGGGGGACAATGGTAGGACGTCATACAGAAGTCAGAACTAAAGTTGGCTCTTTGTTTGGGATAATTTTAACAATTTATTCCTATATATATATATATATGTATATATGTATAGAATACCCTAATTTGGTTGATCTATTATATAAAACAAAAATAAGACGAGGGTTCTACAAAAACATGTCTACAAATATATATATATGTATACACACGTATATATGTATGTCATTATTGTTGAATCTCATATTCTTCGTAACGTTCAAATTACCATGTAGGTTTCATTAAAAACATTTTTTATTCGAAAAGGTGTGTATATATACCTACGTTCGCATATATATATATATATATATATTCACGTGAAGACATACACATATGATCAGTAGTAGTTCACAAGTCTCGCATACAGTCCAAAGTCGAAGTAAGGATAACTACAGATGGAGCATATCCATGTAGGACCACGACAAAACCAGTTCCTTGGTTCCCAGTCCCGATTTATATTCATGTGTGCGTTTTATTACTAATTATCCCCCGCCCATTAATTATGTTTATAAAATATACACACGTATATCCCAATGCTTGTTTTGTTGAAATTCTATGTTCATCTCTTTTATTTTCATGTAGCTTCGCATTCAATTCTCCCGAAATTTAAATTAAAACGGTGTTCTAGCTACTATTATTCATTTTTCTTTCAAATTGTAATTTAAAATTTTAAACAAAAATATTAAATCAATTATTATTAATAAAAATATGTATTTAAAAATTATTTTTATTTTTTAAAAATTATTTTATTTTATTTTTATATTGAATCCGATTCAAATGCGATCATATCTATCGGTGACCAACCCAAAACCCTAAACAAGAATTCAACTTGGAGAGTAGGAGATGGATACCAATATTCCTAATGGACCAACGCATAGAGTATATTTCAAGTGATACAATATCTCGCTTTAAAATTCGTTCATAATCAATAGGTCAACTATACATGTTGTTTAAAAGTTTAAGGAATAATATCATATCTATCTTTTTTCATAACAAACCCGAATAAATTATTCGCTGCCGTCAATTTTATCCGAATTTAGTCGGTTCATAACATGTATACGATAATATATACTGTAACTATATATATATATTTGGAATATGAAATAAATAATTGATTATAACTCTGCAATTAATGCGGGACATCGTAATTTTTTTTTGTTAGATGACGGATTCAATTAATGTCTCGGACACTTAGGAGGGAATTCATTCCGCATTATTTCCAAGTTCCAGCAAGGTGTGTTTCAATAATTAACAACTTCGAACAGATCTGATTTTAGGTTTAAACCAATATAACTATCACGTTTAATTTAGGTATCCGTACAGATATTTATGATTTATATATATATATATATAATTTTGAACATATATATATAATGTGCAGTCAAATCAGGAACAACACAATATGTGGTGTGCGTATGGTATGTATGTGTACAAAAGATTCTTTGTTTTTTAATGGTTAGAAAATATACAAAGACAAAAGTGAAGTAGCTCCTCGGTGCATGGGGAGGACATCTGAAATTAAAAAAATCTTTTTTTTTCTTTCTCAAGAATAATTTCTCTCTCTCTTTTTTTTTTGGTAAATAAAGCTTGACCTTTGCTGTACATATGCAGCCTCTCCTCACTCATTGGACAATGCTTTTTTTTTCCCTGGTATATATACACACGCATATACATATATTTATATATATATATATATATATATATATTCATAAATGCGAAACACGCTGCCTAATTTACGAAAATTCATTAAAAAAAACTTGCACATATTTTTTTTTCTGTGGAAACTTATAAACATTGCATGAATAAACGATATCATTGTTAATTATATTCTTTTTGTATGAAAACTTATATCATGTCAACTGTCAGAAATTAAATAAATGATCCACGATTTTGCATATTAATTATTAATTATGTTATGGTGACATTTCTTCTATATAATACAAATACCCGTGATATTCTCTCAAAATTTTGAAGAAATTATTTTATGAATAGTACAATACAACTCAGGGTTGACACAAAATACGGCAAAACCTAATTGATAATATTATATATATATATATATATATGTATGCAATCAATATGGTACAATTATTTAGTATATGATATTGATCATATTGCTTGCTTCACCATCATGTTTCTTTTTTGTGTGTGTGTGTGCGCTCTTCCACAAAATCCCCACCCAAAAACCAAAATCTAGAGCCACACATGCTTGTTCCCTTTTAAGTTCCTTACTATTTTTTATTTAGCATTATTGATATGCTTTTTCCTTTTTCTTCTGCTTTATTATCCCCTCCTTTTCTATTTCCTTTTGTCAAAGGGGTATATGCGTATTCTTCCTTTCAAGAGTTTTTTATGACGTAATAATTAAATTCCTACACATCAACGTTCCATTATATTATTTTTCTCTGAAAAAAAAATATATTCTCTACACTTGTAACGAATATAAAGAAGCTTCCTTCAGCTCTCCCGAAAGGTAAGGGAGTGCTGTTTTTATTTTGTTTAATTTTTTGGTTAAATTATATAATTATGTTGTTGGAATAATTAATATATTATTATAGTGTGTGTGTATATATATATATATATATTCCATACTCCATGCAATGTAGGAAAGTGTCTCTCTTTATCGCATGTGTTTCTTGGAAATGCAGTGGTTTCGAACCCTAAACAGATAGCTAGGTTATATAGTATGAGCAGAAAAAAATTATAGTACAACTGAAAACTTTATATCTATTTTAATATAATTACTAATAAAAGACAGTAATATGGCATTTCACAAAAAAAAAAGGTCCAAACGAAACACATTTTTTTCTCGAACACCGAAATTAAGAATAATTTATTTACCGTATATCATTTCATATATTAATGTCATATCAATTAATTTTTGGTTATCAATGTAAGAACGTTTAAAATAGGAGAGATAAAGTGTTTGGATTTCAGTTTTTTTTTTTAAAAATAAAAGAGAAAGTTAAAAAGGAAAAGTATTTTTTTTTAGAAATTAAAAACAAACAACGGAGACTGAAACACCTAGCAGGTAGGTGAGTTGAAGGCTGTCACATGTGTCTGAATACCTAGGATTAGGATTATTACATGACAAAGGAATAAAGGTTATAATGCATGGATAGGTAGGCTTATATTAAATTAAATTAAATTATTTTGTCACAGATTTCAATAATTCCATGTGGAATTTTTCATCTTTGTCTGACTAAACCGATGCACTTGGACGAGATGAACTGTTAAAGTGGGGCAAAATAATCACTTTCAAGCAATAAAACAGTTACTTTCCTCTCTCATGTTATACACATATATAATATACATATTTCCATATATATAAAATATACACTGACTATGTATATATATTAGATAAAAAATAATAATTTATCGTTTTTAAGTTACAACTTAAGTATTCTTTTGTACCTATTCTTTTTCATTTATCAATGTGGATCTTAAAAAATAAAATGATATTTACTTGGACCTCGACGTATCCTCACCGTCTTCGGCATTTACCAACATTGGCAAACGCTAAAAAATCTCAGCTTTTGAAAAAAAATAAATTTGACACTAGAGTTTATATATTAAAAGGAAGGAATTTTCTTAACCTAACTAATGTTATTTTTATCATTTAAATTATAATATCTAGATATCTGAATAAAATAAAAACTCTAGAACTAAAATATATAGAATAATTTTAATTTTCTGTTTTTTTTTTCAAATCAAACTAACGTCAAATATAAATACAAAGCATCAAATCGATATTACCAAAAATAAATAAATAATTCTATAAAATTAAACGTACATAACCAAACCAAAATTCTACAACCGAATATAAATCTAATTAACCCAATGTAGAAAAGATTTTGTTATAAAAAAAATGTAGAAAAGATTTCAACTTTTATTTTTAAGTGAAAGAGATTAATTAGTACAGAAATCTCTGTCCGATTTCATGTCTAATCTGTCTCCCACTCGCTTCTAAACAAAATATTATAAGATAAGATGGCGCAACAAGTACTCTCTGTTCGGCGTTATTCGTTCCTCTATTTTTTTTAAATCTTTGTTTTTATTTGTCATTTTAATATTTGAAAAATTGGAGTTCGATGCATGTGTCCTTATGTTTCGCTTTTCAATATATACATATAATTAGAAAAAATATATTCTTTTTTTAATTAAAAAAACACTTTTGTATTGTTACCGATTTTTTTAAAAAAAAATACTTCAATTGTATTTTCGGCAAAAAAAAATATGCAGTTTTTTTTCTTCGAAAGCATGTTGTTACAAAACCTTTCTAATTTTTTCTCTTCAAAATTGCATATTTTCAATTTTTTTTTTTAAAATGATAAAAAAATGAATATACATAAAAGGAATTACATTTATTAAATTAATACCACCTTAAAGGTACGTTTTCGTCTCCTCATGACTCACCACTTCACACTGGCATCAATTTAATATTACACGCCTACATATACAGTTTTTTTCATTAATTAAAATTATAATAATTTATATATACATGCTAATTATCATCATAGCATCGAGATAAACTAAATAAATTCGGTCTATTTTGACCCCTTTTGATGTTCTTTTGCTTTTGTCCTATATATATATATTCTTCAATTATTTGGTTGTTTTTTTAAAAAAAATTTCAATTACCTTCGTGTCAAGTCATCAAACGTTTTCCTTGTGTAAGGGACTAATGATCTAAGGAGTGAGTTTAGTTCAATCTACTATCGTGTTCTTAGGAAAATATTTAGGATAACTGATGATAAATAACCAATTAAATTATATTTATAATGAATAAACTCATCACCATATATATATATACACATATATATATAATTGTGGGATGTGTTCGGATGAGCAGGGATCCACTGATGTTGGTATATGCCTAAATAATTTAAAATGGAATATCCATTGACGAACAAATAAATCCACCACATCTCCTTTATGCTTTTATTTTTTGTTCTTTCTTATCCACCCATGTTCATACTGTTCGATAAAAGCGTTATCATTATGATTTTTTTAATATTTACATTTATAAATTTAATTTGTTCCGTGCATTGTAAGAACCGTTGTAGAATATCCCTGACTCTACTTGTATCAAAATTCATTTGACGTGACAGAAAAAAGTATAAATTCACAAAGATTCATAAAATACATTGGTTTATATAAATCCCCAAGTAAAATTTAATAAAACCTTTTGAAAATTAAAATATGGGAAATATGGGCTTTATTGGGCTTTTACTGAAAACGTAGACTTAATGAGCAATGGGCCTTTTGACATCCTGAAACTTGGGCTTGTTTTGAATATGGTAACACGGATCTTTTTACTGTTAGTCAGATTTAATAATAAATAAACACGATTTAAATGTGATTGATTTATAATAATAATATAGTCGATAAACCTAAATTATCCAACTGTGATTTAAAATTATTTGATTATTTTTAATTGATTTTTTCAAATATAACGCTAACCCAAAAAAATCATGTGCCCTATTAAAAAATAGTCCTAAGATTAGTCTAAAACACAACAAAACCACCGTTCTCTGATATTTCCCTTTCCAATCTTTGTAATCCAAATTGTAAAGTGAATTAAGAATATAAAACTCGTTTTTAATGTATTCATTTAAATTTAAATTTATTTTTGCAAGATTATAATTCAAATTCAATCGCAGCTTCAGAAACGTAAAAAGTGAAACAAAACGCGTTTGTGGCATGGATACTTTTCTCATGTGCATGGGGAATCAGCTTGCCTTGGTTCTTTTCCCTTTACAGACAAAAAGATGTTTTTTTTAAAAATAAATAAATAAAGGATTTTTTTTTAAAATAACGTTCCGATATAAAAACGCAGAGATGTCATTGTATCATATGAGACAACAACGGATACAGATGTACCATTTCTTACAAAAAGACATCCAATTCCAAAGACAATTAATGCAATATATTTCCTAAATTGGCCCCTCAATCTTATTACAAAAATACCCTCGATTTTCTCCCACATTTACTACTCACATGCCATAGCCCAATGCCTATCGTCGAGGCTGCCATCCACGTCGGAATGTTAAAGAATTTTCATAAATTCTTGTGATTATTTTTTGTGTGGATTTACCAAGTATTAAAAAAAAAAAATCTGAGGGCCTTTCAATTCTTTCATTTTTTAAATATTTTAATGGCAGCGGGAACTTTTTATTAAAAAAAATATTGAGCATTTTGTATTAATAACATATTTTTAAATTAACGAGTCAAATAATAATAAAACAATTTTAAAATTTCTTTGCAAAAAATCTCTGTAAAAATGATTTTTGAAGTATCTATAAATTTTGACATTTTATCCTTAATATTTTATCAAATCAATATATTTAATTGGTGTCATTCCTAAAGTCAAACATTTTGTGTTCCCACGTCATTAATTTATTACAATTGAAGCCAAAGTTATTAGCAAAAAAAAAATGTGACGAAGTATTATGTGTAAAGAGTTTATTACAAAGTTTAGGGGCAGTTAATTTATTATTGATCATCCAGTCAATTGAGTACACATGTTTCGCGCTCGAACACGCATATATACACATTTTTTATAATAAGATATGTTGTAAGTAAATAATACACATATACGTGATAAATTGCGAGTATATACAAAATATACATATATTTTTTTTGTGATCTTCGAGTGCAAATGTTTCTAAGAGGAGATCTAATATAATAATTTTCTCACATAAGATTTGATTATGTTGTTTAATTTGGAGAATAATCGTACATGATTCCCGGCCTTATAATTTTGCATGAAAATAAATAAATAAATAAAAGTATTTTAATGTTGCTCTAAATCTGTTAAACCAAACTGTCATATGAGTGTGTGGGTCAGACACCCCATGTGCAGTTCCTTGGCTTCTGCTTCATCCTCTCATTGCCTCTCTCTCTCTCTCTCTCTCTCTCTCTCTCTCTCTCTGCCTTTCCAATTTCAGAGTTCCTTCAACAACTTCCCTACATCCTCTGCGTCAATTCCCATTGCAAAAGCTGCAAGCTTTTTTGTTTTGCTTTTTTTTTTGTCTCTTCTTTCCTCTTCCTTTTTTTTTCTTCTGGGTTCTGGTGAAGCATGAAGAAGAGCAAAACCCTTCTATCGATTCTGTTTCTGGCGTTCGCTTCGGCGTTTCATCTCTCACGAGCTCAAGCAAGCTCCTCCAATGGCGGCGACGATGCCTCAGCAATGCTTGCTCTCAGGAAGAGCCTTAACCCTCCTCCATCTCTCGGGTGGTCCGGCCCGAACCCTTGCAAATGGAAAAACGTTGGTTGTGCGGACAGCAACCGCGTGACCCGGATCCAAATAGGGCACTGCAATCTCCAAGGCACGCTCCCTCCTGATCTCCGTAACTTGTCTGAACTCGAGCGTCTTGAGCTCCAATGGAACAAAATCTCCGGCCCTGTCCCTTCCTTAAGTGGGTTGAGTTCACTGCAAGTGTTAATGCTCAGTAACAATCAGTTTGATTCGATCCCTAGCGATTTCTTCGTCGGGTTGTCGTCTTTACAGTCCGTAGAGATCGATAACAATCCGTTCTCGGCTTGGGAGATCCCTGAGAGCCTCAGAGATGCTTCTGGTCTGCAGAATCTCTCGGCGAACTCCGCGAATGTCACCGGAAAGTTGCCGGATTTTCTTGGCCAGGACGAGTTTCCGGGTCTATCCGTTATGCACTTGGCCTTCAATGACCTACAAGGAGAACTACCTTCGAGCTTGTCTGGTTCACAGGTTCAGTCATTGTGGCTTAATGGGCAGAAAAGTGGGCTCACTGGTCGGATCCATGTTTTACAGAACATGACTGCTTTAAGAGAGGTTTGGTTGCATTTGAATGCGTTTTCAGGTCCTTTGCCGGATTTTTCAGGTCTGAAAGCGCTGGAAAGCTTGAGCTTGAGGGATAACCTGTTCACTGGTCCTGTGCCTGTGTCTCTGACAAATCTTGAATCTTTGAAGGTGGTGAATCTGACGAATAATCTGCTTCAAGGGCCAGTTCCTGCGTTTAAGAGCTCGGTTTCGGTTGATTTGGTTGAAGAATCGAACAGCTTTTGCTTGCCGAGTCCTGGTGAGTGTGATCATAGGGTCAGCACTTTGCTCTTGATCGTGAAATCGATGGGATATCCTCAAAGGCTTGCTCAGAGCTGGAAAGGGAACGATCCTTGTGCGAGCTGGATCGGGATTACTTGTAGCAATGGAAACATCACAGTCATTAATCTTGAGAAGATGGGACTTAACGGAACGATATCTCCCGAGCTTGGATCCATCAGATCGCTTCAAAGGCTTGTTCTTGGAGGTAACAATCTTACCGGTACAATTCCTCAAGAACTAACGACGTTGCCTGACCTTAGAGGGCTTGATGTTTCGAATAACCAGCTTTACGGGAAAGTCCCGGCATTCAGAAGCAATGTGGTCGTGAACACTGCGGGAAATCCCGATATCGGGAAGGATAAACGGCCTTCACCCTCTGGTTCTTCAGCTGATCCATCATCAGGTCCAGGAAGTAGCGGGAGGAACTCAAAGTCTTCAACTTTAACCGGAATAATCATCGGTTCAGTGACCGGAGGTATCCTTTTCGTCTTCTTGATAGGAATATTGGCTTTCTGCTGGTACAAGAAGAATCAGAAGAGATTCACAAGAGTTCAGAGCCCAAACACTATGGTGATACACCCAAGGCACTCTGGCTCAGACAATGAAAGTGTGAAAATCACAGTTGCAGGTTCAAGTGTTAGTGTCGGTGCCGTAAGCGAGACTTATACTCTTCCGAGCACTAGTGAGGCCGGAGATATCCAGATGGTGGAAGCAGGGAACATGCTGATCTCGATTCAGGTTTTACGTTCGGTAACAGACAACTTCAGCCAAGAAAACATCCTCGGGCAAGGAGGTTTCGGGGTAGTTTACAAGGGCGAGTTGCACGATGGAACGAAAATCGCAGTGAAGAGGATGGAATCTGGAGTGATATCGGGAAAAGGGTCTGCAGAATTCAAGTCGGAGATCGCTGTTCTGACAAAGGTGAGGCATCGGCATCTGGTTGCGCTTCTCGGGTATTGCTTAGACGGGAACGAGAAACTTCTTGTTTTCGAGTACATGCCTCAAGGTACACTAAGCCGGCATCTATTCAACTGGTCGGAGGAAGGGCTGAAGCCACTTGAGTGGAAGCAGAGGCTAACCATAGCACTGGACGTGGCGAGAGGGGTGGAGTATCTCCATGGATTAGCTCATCAGAGCTTCATACACAGAGACTTGAAGCCTTCGAATATTCTTCTCGGGGATGATATGAGGGCTAAAGTTGCAGACTTTGGACTCGTTCGACTTGCCCCAGAGGGCAAAGGATCGATCGAGACGAGAATTGCTGGAACTTTCGGATACTTAGCTCCAGAATATGCAGGTTTGAGTCCATTCATCAATATTCAACTCAAATCTTTTCGACAGATGGATCGTTTGAACGATCATTCTCTTACCGAAACGTGTTTTTTGATCTGCAGTTACTGGGAGAGTGACCACGAAGGTCGATGTATACAGCTTCGGGGTGATACTAATGGAGATCATCACGGGAAGAAAGGCCCTTGACGAGACACAACCAGAAGACAGCATGCATTTGGTCTCATGGTTCAAACGTATGTTCATCAACAAAGACTCAGCCTTCAATAAAGCCATCGACCCGACAATAGAACTCGACGAAGAAACCCTGGCGAGCATTCAGACGGTGGCGGAGCTCGCCGGCCATTGCTGCGCCCGTGAGCCGTACCAGAGACCAGACATGGGCCATGCCGTTAACATCCTATCCTCACTGGTCGAGCTATGGAAACCTTCCGACCAGAACCCTGAAGACATTTACGGGATAGATCTCGACATGTCGCTGCCGCAAGCGCTCAAGAAATGGCAGGCTTATGAGGGAAGAAGCGATTTCGAATCTTCGTCTTCTTCGTCGCTTCTACCGAGCTTGGACAATACTCAGACGAGCATTCCGACCAGACCTTATGGCCTTGCTGATTCCTTCACTTCCGTAGACGGTCGATAAATTGATCATATGCTTTAACCCCGTTCCCTTTTTTTGGGTTTTTGTATATTGGGTTTTCTCTCCACCATTCTTTCATGTTTCTTGTCGTGCAAGTAACGTTTTAGGGTTTATCATCTTCTTCTTTCTTGTTCTGTTTCTTGTAAGGGTGATTCAGATTTCGTGTCCTGTAAGATTGTGGAATTTGTAGTGACAGTGAAGGCAGAGGTTGACGACGATCCGTTTTCACATGGGCCCCCCCTCCTCTCTCTCTATCCGCTTTCTTTATATTTTATGACATATATTTTCCACAAACTTTATTTTACTAACAGTTGGGTTATTTTCTATTGTTCACTTCTTGTACTTGCAAAACCAAATGAGAGGATATTATAGTAAAAACACTTGTATTTTCCAATATAAGATATTAATAAAAAAGATGAAAAATATCCTGAACCATTGGACTCTTGTTAATTTAAGATCATGCGTTTTATTGGGCCGGGCCTTCATGGGCTCTACTGACCACTTTGTTTCTTGCCATGGCCCATTCACATGATCTCTTTTATATTTTTAAAATGAAAATATCGTACGTCTATATATATATATATATATATATATATAAACACGCTTTTGATACGAGAAATATCCTGTTAGGTATGGAACAGGCATTACCAGCCTTGCACTTTGCTGTCCATAGCAACTCAATTTTATTCCTAAAAAAATGTTTTAATCATTTTAAATTAGTGAAATATTAGAAATTCAGGGAAAAAAAATATGTATTAATTCGTAATGCCTTCTCATTTTCCCCAAAATGTTCAAACCGTTAAAAAAAACATGTAAAAGAAGGAAAATTATGTAAAGATACGTAATTTACTTGAGGATAAATGATTAGTCATAATTTTAGGAAAGCTAATTACTAATTAGAAGGCATAATATAAATGTAAGTCCATGCACCGACTACAGTTGACTCGTGACTTTAGCCAGCCAATCAAATCCAACGGACGACTCTCTACTATCTTTGGATCCTTTGAATTCTAAAACCCTATTATTATTAATTTATTATTATCATCATCATCATTATTATTATGATTATTGTTCCCATAAATATTCAATCCTTCATAACATTCAACGGTCAAATTTTCCCATTCCTAACAGCCTAAAATTCAAAGACAAACTTAATTTCTATCTATTTTATTTTTGTCTATTTTCTCCTTTTGCCCTAATTTTCTATTCGCCGTATCATAACTTTGACCAAACGCGTTCAACAGTCTATGACCAATATATATATATATAATCCACATCTCATCTCTCTTACTTAAGACAAACAAATCAAAGAAACGAGACAACAACCAGAACACGAATCCGAAACACTCTCTTGTATCATTCTCATTATTTTTTCGCGGCTTCTGATTTGTTCATCTTCTTCGATCCATAAAACCAGAAAAATGGTGTTTCCTTGGAGATTGAGGCGAAGAGGAGGGGACAAGAAGGAAATAATCACGGCGATTGGAAACTCGGACACCGATATCACGATTCCGCCGCAGTTTCAGTGTCCGATCTCGTTCGATCTCATGAAAGATCCTGTGATTATGGCTTCTGGGATCACTTACGACCGCGGAAGCATCGAGAAATGGATCGAATCCGGCAACAAGACTTGTCCTGCCACGAACACTGTCTTGAAAACGTTTGAACAGATCCCAAACCACGCGATCCGCAAGATGATCCAGGATTGGTGCGTCCAGATGGGATCGTTCAGTGGGATAGAGCGTATCCCCACGCCACGTGTCCCCGTGACTCAGCACGAGGTCTCCGATATCTGTGGAAAGCTGTCGGCGGCGGTGAGGCGTGGGGACCACAACAAGTGTGTAGATCTTGTCGGGAAGATCAAGAACTGGGGGAAGGGAAGCGAGAGGAATAGAAAGTGTTTGAGAGAAAACGGCGTCGGATTTGTTCTTTGCGTTTGCTTCGAGGCGTTTGCGGCGAGCCAAAACGTGTTTTTGCTTGAGGAGGTTTTGTCCGTGCTGACGTGGATGCTTCCGATCGGGTCAGAGGGTCTGGACAAGATCGCGTCAGCTGTTTCTTTACGTTGCATGATGGAGTTATTGAGGAGCATGGACGACTCCGTTCGCCAAAACGCTGCGCTTTTATTGAAAGAGCTAATCGCGTTGGACGAAACGCACGCTCTGGCGTTAGCGGAGGTGGATGGTGTCGCGGAGGCGTTTGTGAATTTGATTCGCGACGAGATTTGCGTTAGCTCGACGAAATCTTCGCTGACAGCGATTTACCACATGATCTACTACAAACCCAAGATGGTGTCGGAGTTTCTAGAGACGGGTCTGGTGAATCTCGCGGTGGAGATGATCGTGGACGCCGACAATAGCGTTTGCGAGAAAGCGTTAGCGGTTCTTGAGGCGATTTGCAAGACGCGAGAAGGGAGAGAGGAAGTGAGCAAAAACGCGTTGGTGATGCCGTTGTTGGTGAAGAAGATGCCGAAGATATCTGAGTTAGCGACAGTGAGTTCGGTGTCAGTGATGTGGAGGCTCTGCAAAACGGAGAACGCTGAGGCAGCGGTTGAAGAGGCGCTGCGTTTGGGAGCGTTTCAGAAGCTGTTGGTAGTGTTGCAAGTAGGGTGCAGAGGAGGAACAAAGGAGAAAGCGACAGAGTTGTTGAAGATGATGAATGCACAAGTGGCTAAAATGGAAGATGGTTGTTTTGATTCTTCCATGGATTTCAAGTACCTCAAGAAGCCATTTTGACGTAAACCCAAATTCATAGATTGCATATAGAAAAAATTTGTATACTTTGTACAAAAAATGCATATGAAGACACAGTTTTGTTTCATTTCAGGTACTTAAATCCGAGAAATTTGATTCCAGTGTAAGGTTTACAAGGAGAATACATCTCCTGAACATTTCTCAGTGCTGTTTCTCCATTTCCTGTCAGTCGCTATCTATCTCTCTATTCACAATCTATGCAACACTAAAAAAACAGAGTATGAACCGTATGATTACAAAACAATCTGAGGGGTGAAGCCATTGTCCGATGAGAGAATCATACCGAGGCATTTCTCATACCCGAAGACACTCGAGGAATCTTCTGCCGCTTCAAGCAGCAAGACATCGTCGAAAGAACTCGGGAACTCGAACTTGGGCTGCAAGAGTTTTCTCTGTTGATCAGCGAAAGAGTCGCAGCAACGTGTGCAGACAAAGAGAGGAGGCAGAGTCTCCGAGTCTTCAATGCCGCAGCATCTTGTATGCTGCCAGACCTCGCAGATATCGCAAGCCACCATCCTCTCCCCGTCATCATCATGTGCTCCGCAAGGACATCTCACCATCCACGTGTCACTGCCACCTTGGCACTTCAACTTTGATCCCGTATCAATCCCAAAACCTCGGACTGTTAAAGCGGAATAAGGCTCTATTCTTCCAAACAACAGTTCTTCGTCTTCTGTGTCTTCTCCAAGCTCTTCAATCTCAGTCACCACGAAGTTAGCCAAGACGCAGTATGTATCTCTGAAATTGTCTTCAATGGCTTGCTTTAGATCCGAGACTGTGGCTTGTAATGGGACTGTAACCATCTCACCTGGTGGCAGTTCTGTGATTAGTTCTGATCTTAGATCGACCAAACTAGGATTTACACGGCAACAGAATACAAAAACATGTTCCCGATCATCCCATAAAGCGCACTCCTTTACAAAGTGTTTGCTGTCTAGAACTGCTTGAGATGCAGAGTTTACTGACTCGGATTCTGGGTAATTCATCAGCACATTCGTGTAGAGGAAGAACAGATCTCTGTAGATATCAGCTCCAGGTTGAAACTCTATCGAAATTCTCAAGGGAAGGTTCTCCTTCACTATCTCCTTCTCAGGTTCTGCTACTTTAGTCTCATTGTCAAGTTCTTGTATCGTGTATTGTAGAATCCGGGTAGTAGGATTCACGGAACGACGGACCACAACACTTCCCACGATAACATTGTTCATCGATTTCAGCACATAATCTAGCAAGCCTGTATCGCCAATATGCATTCTAGCTGCATCTCTAACCTCTTGCCGGCTCATACCACTCTGTCCGGACCTCAACGCTTTCATCTCTTTCAGTGACTGCACGATCACTTCAGCTGCATACTCTAGCCTCCTCACAGGCCATCTGCTACCCAAACTAGCTGCGACGTTACTGTATCTTCTACATTTCGGATATTTTTCATTTTCTGCACAACGCTTCTGAAGAAACAAACTGCTGGAACTTTTCTGAAGTGAAATGCCGGTAGTTGGACTGAGCACAGGAAGTTTCTTGCGCTGGGAAGCATGAGCCTTGATGGTAAGCATAAACCGTAAGAGATCTCGGAGCGTTTTTAAGCGGCCTTCGCTCAATTCTCTGTAGTATCGGAAAATATGTTCCATCTCTTTGCTTTGTTTCTCATCACTGAAATCAAGCTCAATCTGATCAAGCTCGAGGGAACTGAGAAGATCAATTGCATTTTCATAGTCGTTCTTAGTCACTCCATAACTTCCACGACAGAATCTGTAACCCCACCTCCCAAACCATGAATGGCCATAAGCAACACCATAAAGTAATCGAAGATCCATAGATCGTTTGTTGTGAAGAGCAGTGTTTGGTCCTCACTTCCACCAATTAACGTCTCATCTGCCAACAATGGAAAGCCAATTGTGCTTACTGTAGCCTCTATGGATTCTGCATCATTTTTCCGTGACAAGAGTTTTGGTGCAGATTCACCCATATCTGTGAGATCAAATAGCTGGCTTGCATTTTTCTCCTTCGCTACATTCTTTCATTCTGTAATATGCTGCCTTTTTTTTCCTCTGGTTAAGATGCAATGTTCTATCATCACTCCAACTTTCAGGGACTGCTCTTCAATCTCCATACACAGAGATACAATATCACGCATCAAAATTGTGTAATTGACCCAAAACAAAATTAGCTATTAAGATTACCGTGCTCCGAGGTACGTGCAGAGACGGTCCCAAAGGTCCATGATTTCTCTTCCGCACAAGTGTTTGGACCCTCCTTCGATTCCGTTGATGCAGATCAAATGACCGAACCCGTTAGAATGAATCAGTCCATGCAAAAGATGACTTTGCAGATTAAACGCATCATCTTCTAAAGGCATAGTCCACTCGGTATCTATAGGTATTATCAAATGATACTTCCTTTTCGACACAAAATGATTGCTCCAACCTGAAAATAAAACCCAGATGAAAATTTTGACAAAGCTCTTATTTTCATCGTTGATATAATCCATGATGAATTTTCTTATCGTTCCAGAATCAGAGTCGATATTTCATAGGGAAAACCAACCAGTTTTTTTTTTTTTTTGAAGAAACTCCTTTTATGAACAATAATGATCCGATAGGTAATACCCATATTATCGATTTGACAACAAAATCAAAACCCTAACCTGACAAAATCCAGTTCTCAAAATTACTCCCAGCAGAAACCGATATCAAAAAACTATCTGAACTACCTAAAACCCAGTTCTCAAATTCGTTAGCGGAATCCAAATCCACCAAATTCAATATGAAACACCTCAACTAATCGCGACACCACATACCCTAATTTAGAAACTTCAGAGACCAAATTCCGCGCAAGAAATACAGGAACCAAAGACCCATTTCAGCAAAATGGAGAACCAGTACCAAAATCAACAAAACAATCCGAAATAACGAGAATAAACCAACACCTGTGCATCTGCAGTGATCGCAGTAAGGTTCCGCAGAGTGCTTGACGTCTTCCTCGATGGTGTACAGCGGAATCACAGTGCTCTTCGTCTCGTGGTTAAGCAGGGTACACCAAACAGGCATTCCTCGGATGCTATAGTCCTCAACCTCCGCACATTCTCTGAGAAAATCCCTAATATTTTCCCGGAAAATTCCCGGCCGCTTCGCCGGAAAACCGTCGTGTTCTCCGAATCCCTGGAATCCGAACATTTTCGGCTTCCGCTTTCTCTTCCTGCAAGTTTCAATTATTGGCACTGGCATCGTTTCCGATCTATCAAAGTCTTCTTTGGTATCTGAATTAGGGCTCTTCTGAATCTCTGGTTTCTCTGCGAGAATAAGCAGAGAAGGAGATTATCCGAGTTTAACCTCTCCCGCTCGAATTTGAAGCAATTATCGATCGGTATTGTACCAAAAGGACCAGTAATCTGCACACATTTACGATTCTGCCATACGCTTGCTATCACCCCCTCGAGATCTAACGGCTGATATGATAGTTTGAATCATCAAGTCGAATCAGAACCGTTCATCTGTATAACTGTAAGTTGTTATTCCAAACGGTTCAAGTCCAAGGGTCAGTAAGCAGCTGATTTTCTTAATATTTTTTTTTAATTTCAGATTAACAATTTTTGCATTCGGATTTCGTATACATAATTTGTCCATTAATCAAATTCTAAACATAATATACATTTTTACTTAGAAATTGAATAATCTCTAATATTCCAGCAATTAATTTTGTTAGCTAGAACTCAATAGTAATATATACCGAAATCGAGCATTACTTAATGATCCCGGTTTGGTAAGAGCCGGTATGCTTTCAATTTCGTACCGTACTCGGTTTAGCTCTAACTCCTACCGGTTATCTGTACCAGCGGGTAAAAAGCGAACCACCGCGTTTCCTTTAGTCAAACGTGATCGGAAAATCAAAACATCTACCGAAATCTCCCGTGTTATTCGGAGTTTCTCGGCCACGACCGCCCAAATTTTCTGTCGCCAAGTGAAATTTTCAGGCGACAGCCATGGCGCTGGACCTTCCTGGCCTCGTCGCCGTCGTCGTTGTTCTTCTTCTGTTTCCCATATCTCTAGCCGGTGAGTTTTCCCGGAGATTTTGTCTTTTGGCGATTCTGTTTCGCATTTGTTTCCTAGCTCTGTTACTTCGAATTTGTTGGCTTCCCGTTTCGAGGATGATGATTTCCGTGGATTGCAGTCTGGTATTTTGCTGATTTTGATTCTATAGTTTAGTTTTTTTTTTCATGTTAAGATGCTGCCGAAACCTCGTGTTTCCTTTTCATTGGTTGAGGTTTCCTTTGACATGTTGAATTCGGTTTTCCTTGTATCTACTGCAAAATTCTACTGTGTAATGTTGGATTTAGCTCTCCATCTTGAAGCAAAATTCTAGTGTGTAGCGAAGCTACATGGGCTGTTTTCCCCCATTGTGGGACTTGGGTTAAAGATCTTTGTATTGAAGGAAGCACTATAAAATTTAGATTTATCGTTTCCATACTTTTCACTGCAGTCATATTTTAGAAACTTTCTCTTCCCATAATATCTGCAATGTTGGTATTCCATGATCATATTGCCTTTTAGGGTTTTTCTTTGTGCTGCATGGTATGGCTGGCTGAGTAAGGTTATACCATAGTAACAGGCGATGTGTAGTTGTAGTTCGTTCATATTAAACATGCTGGTAAATTCGGGGTTGAAACACTGCTGTATACTTGTTGATCCCCGAGGTTGGTGTAGTGTTTCTTTGGAAGCCCTTTGTGAGATGGATTCCTTGGGTTTGATTATAGCATAAAACAAATGCATTTTACTAGGTAGGTGTTCGATATTATTTCTCTTGAAATACCCATCCGTGATTAGTTGTGCACATTTTGCTTCTTCCCTTTTTCTTCGCAATGCAGAAGAGGCGGACTCTATTGAATCTGTTCCTGATCTTCAGAAGCTCATGTACAAGGCTGTTGATGGTTATCCTTGTGTACGGTTGCTCAATCTTTCTGGAGAGATTGGGTGTTCAAGTAATATACTTTCCAAATTCTCTAGCTACGTATGTGAGTGGATCGTTTCCCTTATCTCTCATGTCTACATATTCTCAGATCCTGGACCAGACAGGGTGGTTGCTCCAATCCTAAAATTTAAGGATGCTAAAGATTTGGCTCAGCCTTATACTGTTTTGGTGACAATTGACGAGATGGAAGATTTCTTTGACAGGCATGTCTCCACTGTCATTCTCCATCATTTGTTTTTATCGCTTCATCTTTCTTATCTTTTGGTCTAGGACTTTACGATATACCTTTCGGCATATACCTTGTCATGTCAAAGGTTTTCTTCTTGAATTTGATGTTCTTTACATTTCTCTGCTATTGAAAATATACATCATAATTTTGAAATGTAGCTCTCTGTTGTCTGTGGCCTCTTACATATTCATAAGAGCCGTACTTTGGTTTTAAATGCTGTCATGCCTTTGTTTGCCAGAGTATCAAATGATTTGGGCTTTGCTAGCAACATTGGTGGTGTTCTAGTTGATTCAAGATCTAGTTCTCAGCAAAAGTCAGGAGGTAATAAGTTATCCACAAACTTTAGGATCTGTTGTTTATGCTCTCGCTGTATAATACTTTCTTCCTCTCAGTTACCTCCATTTAATCATAACAATTGATTATCTTCTCTCGTGTTCATGGTGCTAGTGGTTACTTTCATTTTTTGTAGGGTTCTCTCCTGATAAAAAGTTTCCTCAATCAGAATTTTCACCCTATGGCAATACTGATTATGAATGGAATCCAACAGTATGCTATCTCAAACTTCATCTGAATTTTTGTATTATGTTCTACTTTCGGATTTTTTTTATGGGCTTAGCTAGAAATATTCCTAATCAGCTATTCCACTTGGTTCAAGAACTTCCAAGTATTTTAATTGGGTATATGGACTTTTCATGAACCAATAATCAATTACATTTTGATCCTGGACAAGGATAAATCCTGTGACAGCGATTAGTTGAGGTTGATGAATTTTCTGTTTACTTTTTTTATGGTTTGAAGCATGATACTTCGAAAAGTAGTATGAATTGAAGCCATATATTCCTACAATTATTTCTAAAGTTTATGAATTGGTTGTGAGTTTACAAATGAATGGTTGTTCTTACTTTTCCTTTTCCTGGATGAACAGAATGTCTTGCTCAACTTGTTATTAAAGGGAAAAACGTGAATGTTACATTTAAATGCAACACCATCTTCTTTCTAACAAACAAAGCATGATGCTTTCTATTTTTCAGGGATTGGGTATTATGTGGAGAGCATACAATTTTCCTGTGTACCTATTGTCGGAAAGTGGCATATCAACTGTGCAGGAGGTAATCCTTCTAACTTACAAGCTCTGCTATATCTTTCAGAAATTTGTTTCAAATATGTTTATTCAATGTTTCCATCTCCGAGTATTACCTGCCATCTTATTTTAAATGGTTACATGTGAGAAACCTGAGAAAAAGAACTGAAGGCCTAGAGTGATTTTATAGCTGAAAGTTTCGATTAAATTCTCTTGTAAGGACATTGAAAATTTGAAACATATATATTTGTCATGTTCTTCTGCTATACGTTTCTTTTGGCATGTTGAATGTATGCTTGCCCTAGCATATGACTTTTCTCTTGTTTTCTCTCTTTTTTTTTCTTCAGAAACTTGGAATGAATTTGAATTTTCTTTTTATCTTTCTTGGTGTATGATGTCCCGTGAACTTGTCTACTTGAACATGTGTTTCGTGTTACATGATGTTAAGACTTTTGACTAATGTGATTCTACAGATTATTTCCAAGAAAGTGGAGAAGGAGAAAGCTAATACCGTTGATGTGGCCGAATTCAATATGGTTATGGAGGTATTTGATTTTAGCATTCTAGTTTTCTGTAGTTTTGATCCTTTTCTATGTCCTTTTTTGGTGACTTATTTCTCTTTCCCCTTTTTTTGGGATTAGACAACAAAGTCAGGGACACACAATTCAGAGTCTTGTTTGCGGGAAGGAACTTGTCTTCCACTGGGTGGTTATAGGTACGATTTTAAGATTTATTATTTATTCACAATTTACACATTGGTGCTTTATTGTTCTCATGGGTTAGAGTATGCTTGGGTTTTCTATAGAGAATGGCGAATGTCAATATTCCAGTGGAGTTAATAAACAAGCCATGTGAAAAGAACTTGGAGATTTAAACTTGTATGTAAATGGAGTTTGAACTTCTCGCATGGAACTAAATATTAACAACCTGCAATGAGAACAAAAAAAAATGTAAGAATGAAATTGTTATGGAAATATTTCTAATGGTGAGTATAGCCTTACGTTGACAATGGTTTACTTTTTTTTAATTTCTTTGTTGTGAAGAGCAGTGTTTGGTCCTCACTTCCACCAATTAACGTCTCATCTGCCAACAATGGAAAGCCAATTGTGCTTACTGTAGCCTCTATGGATTCTGCATCATTTTTCCGTGACAAGAGTTTTGGTGCAGATTCACCCATATCTGTGAGATCAAATAGCTGGCTTGCATTTTTCTCCTTCGCTACATTCTTTCATTCTGTAATATGCTGCCTTTTTTTTCCTCTGGTTAAGATGCAATGTTCTATCATCACTCCAACTTTCAGGGACTGATATCACTTCTGGGAGTTGTAGATGCTCTTTCTCGAGTTGATGGTTTTAATAATCTCAAAAAGCAGGTACCGATGAGTTGCATTTAAATGGCATATGAACTGGATCTTTGACTACATATTATTATGTGATATGCTAGTCTAATTAAATAATACCATGCTTATATTATCTAGTCACAGAGTGATCCTGCATTTAATTTGTTTAGATGCTGATATCTTCCTTGTGGATCCTTAAATGCAGCTGGTGTTTTTAGTTTTGACTGGAGAGTCATGGGGCTATCTCGGTAGCAGGAGGTTTTTACATGAACTCGATTTGCATTCAGATGCTATTTCTGGCCTTAAAAACACTCTAATTGAGACGGTAAGAATAATTGCCACGATCCAACAGAATAAGAATGATTGCTTGTGTTGCTTGATTAGTATTCTATTCTCTGTAAAGCTTGAACTTTGAAAAAAAGTTTAGAGACTGAAGATGTGGTTTTTCGATTGTTTGTCTAAAAGGTTCTTGAAGTAGGATCAGTTGGGAAAGGGCTGAGTCAAGGTGTCAAGACCTTCTTTGCTCACAAAACGAGGGTGAGAAGTCTTTGATGCTCTGATGCTTTACTTATTTGTGCAGTTTCATCTGCTTACATTCTCATCTGGTTTTCTAAGACTTCATATATGTGAGATCTGCTCATAGGGGTCGCAAGGAAGTTAGTCTAAAGTTTTAAGGATTCCCATTTAGGTTTCATCAGTCACAAATATGACACTGGATGCTTTCAAGCAAGCTCAAGATTCACTTGCATCACAGAACATCAAAATTCTTTCGGCTGACGCCTCAAACCCGGGAATACCCCCATCCTCTATGATGACATTCATGAGAAAGGTATGTTATGATTTCCGAGGGAATATGGAAATGAGATGAAAACATTACATAGAGAAAGTAAAGAAATTAACGAATCGAAAATTTCCCTGTGGCAGAATCCCCAGACTTCGGCTATTGTACTAGAAGACTTTGATACCAAGTTCACCAACAAGTTCTACCACAGTCACCTCGATGACTTGTGTAAGATCCATACCCTCGTTCTTTCCTTTTCGATCCCCGATCCTGTGATTGTCGTGCTCTTTTCTAATGTTGTTCCCTGTATAACTGATTTATATACAGCAAATATCAACTCTTCAGCTGTAGTAGCTGCTGCTTCAGTTGTTGCCCGTACACTTTACCTACTTGCAAGTGACAACAAAGACACAAGCAATTCTGCATTGGGGTCCATCAATGTCAACGCTTCTCTGGTTGAAGAGCTTATTTCCTGTCTTTTAACCTGTGATCCGGGCTTATCATGCGACCTCGTGAATAGTTATATCTCACCTTCGAATACATGCCCGAGCAACTACGCTGGCGTCATCCTCGGGGAACCTTCCTCCACGCCTCAACCTGCGTACGTGAGCGATATTTCCAGGTTCATATGGAACTTTCTGGCCGATAGAACATCCGATCAAAATGGAAACGCAGCCTCGGCCTGTTCAAAAGGAGTTTGTGAGAACAAAGGTGAAGTCTGCGTCAAAGCAGAGGTCGAGAAGGAGGGAACTTGCGTAATATCCACAACCAGGTAATCATCCTGGTCTTAACCCGAAGTGAAAACAATGCTGAAGCGTTTCATCTTCCCTAGATTGAGATCTCTCTATGGCCATGTTCATCAATCTTAATCCGAATTATGTTGTGATGATTGCAGATACGTTCCCGCATATTCGACCAGATTGGAGTACAAGGATGGATCGTGGATGGTTTTGGCCCCGAATTCATCAGATCCAATGGGAATGGCTGACCCTGTGTGGACGGAGAGCAATTGGAACACGATTGGAGTGAGAGTGTACGAAGTGCAGCATTCGGGTTACGACAACTTCGTACTGATCGCAGGTATCACAGTCACGACTCTGTCTTACGTAGCGATTGTGGCTGGGAAAGCTTTCATTACAAAAGCCTTGAAGCGGGACTGAGTTTATTTATTGTCGTCCGTCTCCTTCGATTCACTCTGCTCGAAAGATTCTTGTCTGGTCATTACATAAACCATCAAAGTAGGTTCAGGATCTTCATCGAACACACGTTGTTTCTAAAGTTTGGCATAACTAAGGACCTGAGAAAAATGCAACGAAAGATTTTATTATGCATTACGTAATATGTTTTCGTGTTATTCTTTCAATCAGAATAATCAGCCGATGCCTGGCGGCGTTTTAACTCATTACCACGTTTGAAAACGCCGACAGCGTTTCAACCGCCACGAGTTGAGAACCATAACAATACCAGCTTTTATTGGGCCTGAGAGGCCCAAATCAACCTCAATAGCAAAGAATAGATCCAATCAAAACATCATCTCATGTGTCTCCCACACGCTCCTCCACATTTCCACCGGAGAACCATTGAAACTCGAGGGACTGACACAAAAAGCGATCGATTCACATAGAGAGGAACAAGACACAGATCCGTGGCTATGGGGTTAGGGTTGCTAGCTTCTCGAGCACTTCGACCTGCTTCTCGCCTCCTTCATCATCACCAGAATCCTAGTTTCTTCCTCCGCTCCATCGTCTCCAAACCCGAGCTCCAATCCCCTGAATCCGCCGCCGCAGCTCAGCCGGATCCTACGCCGGATCTCCCGCCCAGGAATCCCGTAGGCGGTGCGCGAGTCCATTTCCCTAACCCTGAAGATGCGATCGAGGTGTTCGTTGATGGGTACCCGGTCAAAATCCCTAAAGGGTTCACGGTTCTTCAGGCCTGCGAGGTCGCCGGAGTCGATATCCCGAGGTTTTGCTACCATTCTCGGTTGTCGATCGCCGGAAACTGCCGTATGTGCCTTGTTGAGGTTGAGAAATCGCCGAAGCCCGTCGCGTCGTGTGCCATGCCCGCACTTCCAGGTTAGTTCGGTTAAGTTTATTGCCTTGAACTCTTCATTTCGGTGTTCTTGTTGGATTCTGGATAGTTGTTGGTTGGCCTGATCGAATTTGAACTGAGAGTTTTGGCTACTCTCTGGTATAATTGTTGATTTTAGAAAAATTCGGGATTTGGAGCTATCTTAGATCCTAGAGCTGATCCTGTTCAGCTCTTGATCCTAGAGCTGATTCTGTTTTCTTATTTGGAACTTTTTTTTCCAGTTTTGATTTGTAATTTGGATTGATTTTCCGCTGCATGAGCCGGTTTGTTTGCTTTCAGCAGTAATGTAGTATAATGCTCGACTCTTCGAAGTCTTTGTCTAACAGGGATGAAGATTAAGACCGACACACCAATAGCAAAGAAGGCGAGGGAAGGAGTGATGGAATTTCTGCTGATGAATCACCCTTTGGATTGCCCAATTTGTGACCAGGGAGGAGAATGTGATCTTCAGGATCAGTCTATGGCTTTTGGATCCGACAGAGGCCGGTTTACTGAGATGAAAAGATCCGTCGTTGATAAAAATCTCGGCCCTCTTGTGAAGACGGTTATGACTCGGTGTATCCAATGTACAAGGTTACGAGCTAAATAGTTTCTTAAGATTGGAATGAATCAGTTGTGCCACAGGCTTAACAACTGATTTTCGCCGTATTTCTTGATTCTTGGTTGAAAAAAAATGCATTTTTCGCCGTATCATATTAATGAAAGTGTTTCTTTTCTGTTTAATGTATAATGTTACAGGTGTGTACGATTTGCTACAGAAGTTGCCGGTGTTCAGGATCTTGGAATGCTAGGTCGTGGTAGCGGAGAAGAAATTGGGACTTACGTCGAAAAGCTTATGACCAGTGAACTCTCGGGAAATGTTATCGACATCTGTCCGGTAGGAGCCCTTACCTCAAAGCCCTTTGCCTTTAAAGCTCGAAACTGGGAGTTGAAAGGCACAGAGACCATTGATGTTAATGATGCTGTGGGGTCCAATATCCGAGTTGACAGTAGAGGACCAGAAGTCATGCGTATCGTTCCACGGCTCAATGAGGTATTATACTTGGATTTATGGTCGTGAACTTACCGGTATCTTTCTTTCGTCGACTGATGTTTGATCTCTCCTGTTACAGGAAATAAACGAGGAATGGATATCAGACAAAACCCGGTTCTGTTATGATGGTCTGAAGAGGCAAAGGCTGAGTGACCCAATGATCCGAGATACTGATGGAAGATTCAAGGCGGTGAACTGGCGAGATGCCTTAGCTGTCGTGGCCGATATCATTCATCAGGTCAAGCCAGAGGAGATTGTTGGTGTAGCCGGTCAGCTTTCCGACGCGGAATCCATGATGGCATTGAAGGATTTCATCAACAGAATCGGATCAGACAACGTCTGGTGTGAAGGAAATGGCGTTGGCCTTGACGCCGATCTTAGATACAGATATCTCATGAACACTAGCATCAATGGCCTTGAAAATGCAGATCTCTTCCTTCTCGTTGGTACCCAGGTGAATTTCCTCCTCTCAAATCTTAATAAAATATCAAGTCTTTTCTGTGTTTATTCACATCTTTCTGCCTGTATTTTTCTCAGCCGAGAGTTGAAGCTGCAATGGTGAACGCCAGAATCCGTAAGACAGTTCGTGCATCGAATGCCAAGGTTGCTTATATTGGCCCACCTTCGGATTTCAACTACGACTGCAACCACCTTGGGACTGGTCCCGAGACCCTCAAGGAAATCTCCGAGGGCCGTCATCCTTTCTGCTCGGCCCTCAAGACCGCCAAAAACCCCGCTATCATCGTTGGGGCAGGTCTCTTCAACAGACCTGACAGAGAAGCTGTTCTCTCTGCTGTGGAATCCATCGCGCAATCCAACAATGTCGTCCGACCCGACTGGAACGGCCTCAACTTCCTCCTCCTCTACGCTGCCCAAGCCGCTGCCTTCGATCTCGGCCTCATTCAACAGTCCGAAAAAGCCCTTGGGTCAGCGAAATTCGTCTACTTGATGGGTGCAGACGATGTAGACGTCGAGAAAATCCCCAAAGACGCCTTTGTGGTCTATCAAGGTCACCACGGGGACAAAGGCGTGTACCGTGCGAATGTGATCCTCCCGGCTTCTGCCTTCACCGAGAAAGAAGGAACCTACGAGAACACCGAGGGTTTCGCCCAGCAGACCGTTCCCGCTGTTCCGACGGTAGGTGATGCCCGGGACGACTGGAAGATCATCAGAGCTCTGTCCGAAGTTGCCGGAGTACAGCTTCCGTACAACTCACTCCATGGGGTTAGGTCGAGGATCAAGGCGGTGGCACCGAACCTGGTGGTGCAGCCGGACGAGCGGGAGCCGTCGGGTTTTGGGCCATCGTTGAAACCGGAGTGCAAGGAGAAAACGGTGAGCTCGACGCCGTTCGAGCCGGTGGTGGAGAACTTTTACATGACGAACTCGATCACGAGAGCTTCTAAGATCATGGCTCAGTGCAGTGCCCTGCTCCTTAAGAAATGATCCTAATTTTTTTTTTTTTTCTTCCAATTCCAATCCCGAAAGTGAAAGTACGGATTCCGCGGTTAAGTCTGCCTCTCTGCTTTTGTCTTTGTTTCGAGCTGTCGGTTTAGCTCTGGGGACGCCATTAACGTTGCAATAAACTCATCCCGGATTATTTTCTTATGTAGAATTTTATTGTAAAAGATTGCTTGTGACGAGGACATTTCCTTTGGGTTATTAGAAATTTACAAATTTTTTTTTTAAAATCGCAAATGCATGGTTGTCCAAAAACTGTTTCTGATGATGAGAAATATCAAAACTGACGGAAGATATTTTCTTCTGGTTAGTAACGGGGAGTTGTTGGGGAAAACAAAGACAAAGTCGGCAAAATGTGTCTGTGGGCTTCAAAGATTCACACAATCTTTGGATATCACAAGTCCCTGTCGGACCCCCCACTTCCATCTTTCCTTTTTGCAATATGAAATTTCTTTTTCGGTGGAAACTCGCATCTTTTTTTATTTGTGGTTTTGAATTGTATTTTGCTCGCACCAATACTCAGGAATATTATTCTATTTACCTTATATTATTAAAAGGTTGGGAGAAAAACAATTTATGAAACAATGATGATAATGTTATAAATTTTTCATATGAAAAACCATAAACTCATCTTGTTTTTTCCAAAGACAATTCGACATCTGCTTTCATCTCCGAAGTCGTGATCGTGAATGGTCATAGAAAATTCTAATTTCCCATAGGGTATTCAAATTATTTATTTGCCTAATTCGTTGGCCGAAAATTAAAAGGAAAGTTATGATTATCTTTCGAATTTTTTTTTACTTTAAATCATTTATAAATACAAAATTAGAAGATCTCTCCAAACATTTCATTATTTTTTTAAAGAATGTATAAAGAAACCAAGAAAAGTGGAGAGTCGGCCGAATGATCAAAAGAATAAACTAAAACTAAAAGAGGATGCCTTGTTTTACGGGGAAAGGAGCACTCTCTCTTCATTTTGATTTCTTGCCAAAGGGGGTATGAACAGAATCTCTTCATAAATATATACATACATACATACATATATATATGTATATATAATAATAATAATAATAGAAAGAGTTGTCGAATTGGTTTCGTTTAGATTCTCTTAACATAATGTAATAGGGTTCCATCATATTATGACATGATATTAATCGCAATATATTGGTCCCAAGACAAATGTATATACGTATGCATGCATGGTTCGTCGTAAGGGTCAAAGACATGGCGGTCGAGGTTGACGTCGTGTGGTCAACATCTTGTATCTCTTACAAATGCATGCTGCCGTCCCTATTCCACACAGCTTGTGATGGGGTTTGCAAGAATTATCACTTTTTGTCTTCTTCCACGAAAATGATGCGAAAAATATTTTGTTTTACTATTCAAATTTATAAAATAAATATACAAATTGCTAAGAAATTGAGCGGACAATAAATGCAACTTAATTGAGACGCCAAGTGAAAAATCCATCAAACAAATATTTATTGAGTTCTCTCTCGCCATTAAATTGCATTTAAAAGAAAATAAAACACTCCATGAATTTCATCTTAAAAAGAAAAGGGGAAACCGCGTCTCCCTATTTCTTTTTCGTCGACCCCACGCTACATATGCCTTTGTTTGTTCGCAGATATTTTCAGACTTTTTATTTTTGAAATTTAAAATGTTATATTATGTTTTTGTTCGACAGGAGATTTATTTAATTTTCATTATATATTACATATGTATCGATATTAATTTTGTAACGAAAATATAATAAATATATGTGCTTCATATACTTTTATGGTAAAATATTATAACTCACTTGAAATATTAAGTTTGGAAATGAATTCACAAATAAAAATTACCTAATTGTTTTTCAAATATCTTTCCGAATTAGTTATTTATATTTTTTGTCAAACGATCATTTCTCCTTATAAATTGTCCCAACAAAATTTCAATTTTTTCGTCCACTCATAATTTATTTTTCACCATGTCAGTGTAATATTCGATTTATAGAAAATTAATGAAATTAACATCAGTTAGGACGGAAACAAGTGACAATTACTTAAACCATGTTCTCAACTCTTGCTAGTTGGTGCTGAAAATGACAAACAAAACCGGTTTTAGTTCTAAAAAAATTATGAAATGATTAAAAAAAATTAGATCATTTATAAAATAAATTTTATGGATCCCCCCCCCCCCCAAAAAAAAAACGCACGCATGTATATACACACACATACATACAAGTCATATATGTGCGTGTATATATAAACACACACACCCTCCACTGCAACTGGCCTCCCCATACCTCTCTCATCCACTCTGCAACAATGTCTCTGATCCCAAAACATTTCTTCATCTCCTTCTTCTTCTTCCTCTTCTTCTGCAACGCAATCTCTCTCTCATCCACTCACTCTCTCCACCTCAGTCTCACCTCTCTCCGCCTCTCCCCCGCTACCAACTCCTCCCCCTTCGCAACCTCTCTTGTCGCCGGCCGGAAAACCCCTCCGCCGTCGTATCCGTACAGTTTCCGTTCAAACTTCAAATACTCGATGGCCCTCATTGTCTCTCTCCCCATTGGAACTCCTCCACAGACCCAGCAAATGGTTCTCGACACCGGAAGCCAACTGTCATGGATCCAATGCCACGGCAAACGCAAACCATCTCCTCCCCCGACAACCTCGTTCGATCCATCTCTGTCTTCTTCCTTCTCCGTCGTGCCCTGTTCACATCCTCTCTGCAAACCCCGAATTCCCGATTTTACCCTCCCCACCTCCTGCGACACCAACCGTCTCTGCCACTACTCCTACTTCTACGCCGACGGCACCTTCGCCGAGGGCAATCTCGTCAGAGAAAAATTCACCTTCTCAAAGACCGAATCTACCCCTCCTCTGACCCTCGGTTGCGCCACCGAGTCCAGCGACGACAGGGGCATTCTGGGAATGAACCGTGGACGTCTCTCCTTCGTCTCCCAGGCCAGAGTCTCCAAGTTCTCTTACTGTGTTCCGACCCGACACGGACCCAACTCAACCGGGTCGTTCTACCTGGGCGAGAACCCGAACTCTCGCGGGTTCAAGTACGTGTCCTTGTTGACTTTTCGTCAAAGTCAACGCATGCCGAACCTCGATCCACTCGCGTACACTGTTCCCTTGCAAGGGATCAGAATCGGGCGGAAGAGACTCAACATATCGGCTTCCGTTTTCCGACCCGACTCGGGCGGGTCGGGTCAAACCATGGTCGACTCAGGATCCGAGTTCACTTACTTGGTGGACGAGGCTTACGACAAAGTGAGAGAAGAGATCGTGAGGCTTGTGGGTGCGCGGCTGAAGAAGGATTACGTGTACGGTGGATCTGCTGACATGTGTTTTGTAGGGAACCCGATTCAGATCGGACGGTCCATAGGCGATCTCGTCTTCGAGTTCGGGAGAGGCGTCGAGATCCTCGTCGAGAAAGAGAGGGTCCTGGTCCACGTGGAAGGTGGGGTCCACTGCATCGGAATCGGACGATCGAGCATGCTCGGAGCAGCGAGTAACATAATCGGGAACATCCATCAGCAGAATCTGTGGGTTGAGTTCGATGTGACCAACAGGAGAATGGGTTTCGGTAAGGCCGACTGCAGCAGATCGCTGTAGGAACACGATATCCCGACACGTGTACGGTGAAAAACAATTTTGATGGAAGACTGTGGGTCCCAAGACAGGTCATCGGTTCTTAATGGAATATCAATGAAGAAGGGGCCACGTATATATTTACTCGTTTTAGTACCACCACCACCTGTATATTAATTGCGTGTTCAATGTAATTTGTTCGAAATATCTAAATAATAATGTCATTTTGCTTTCTCTTTTTATTTTTATGTTTGCAAATTGGGATAAATATTGGACGCACGCGTGTAATGGTATATTTGAGTTATAGATTTTACGTTCCACGTTGACAGATTTTACTACTTTTTTTTATATCTGTAATTTGATGGTTTAAAAGATCTGTGGTATTGTGTTTAAAAAATATTTATTTCAATTTGGATAGCAAAAATAAATCTGTTAGTAACAAAAAGAAAAACAATATATGCGATAAAATAAATATAGAGATATATTGCAACTACCATAGATTATAAAAGGTGTATGAAAAATGCAGTAAGCGTGTCTAGTCTTCAAACCTAAGTTTCCATCTCGTTGATCATTATCCAACAAAAACGATAACGTTAAAATTCTTAAAAGAAAACGGATGAACATTTAAAAATATGATCTAATATTTCTTTTTCTAATAATAGAATTATTTAATCCTAAAAAAACAAACTTTGTTTCGAACACGTGTCGTGTTTGTTTGTACCGATTCAAAGCATCTTCGACAACATTATTTTCAAGTCTGTCTCCGACATATATACAAGTTTGAGTCACCAAATAGTCTCCGATTTCATTTCTAATGATTAAAATTTTAGATAATTGAATGGTACACACGCATATATATGTATATATATATAAATCCTTTTGAACGTGACAATGAAATATTAATTTTGTTTTAATATTCTGTTGAATTTCAATTTGATATTTTAAAATGCAGTTTTGTCTCTTCACTTTGCCAACCAAATTTCAATCCGCTTAATTATGCTCATTGCATGACTTGGTTGCCAAAAACAAAACTAAACACAAGTCGGTTTGGATTTATTATTGTAATAAGACAAGACCAAAATCCGCACATCACATGATACAAAAATTAAAAAACTTAACTAGAGGTTATTATTTAGATTTTTAAAAAAATAAAAAAAATGAATCCGTGAGGTGCAGGGCATGCACCACAAAAACACATTGAAGCAAATCAAGAGAGTGACGTTATGATCGGATTTTAGCAGAAAATAATCTATATTATCATCTGAAAATATTAAAATATTTTGTATCAATTTTTAGTTTCACGCATACGTTTTTAGGATTGTGTCGTGACAGAAAAAAGTAGCCTTTAGTATTTTTACTTTTTATGCGTTTGTAAATAACATGTAGTATTTCTGTTGAATCGCTAATGGGTAATCATATATGTGATTAGTGGAAATTAATTTACCTTTTGACTCTTCAATGTTACCATACAGTGACAAGATTAGAGGCTATTTATGACACATAAGTAAACTAAACAATAAATATCTCTATATGTTTTAAAAGAGAGAAACAAGTTATTTAGTCACTTTGAGATACTATTTTTAACTGGAATATTAATTACTATGGCCAATCTAGCTTCAATCTCTTCGAACATTTACATTATTTTTTTTTTGCATATTTCCGAAATTGAACCAATGGAGAAAAATTGATTTTCGTATAGAAAAATTGATTGCAGTTTTGAAACTCGTTTTTTTAAAAGAATACTACCAAAATAAATATAATAAACATCATAAAACATGTTGTCGCTAATTCCTTCTAAATGGCTGAATTAAAAGCCATTATGCATACAAACAAAAAAAATCATTTTGGAGTTACATATATACACACACACACAATCGAGCCGAAAATTGACCCAAAAGAGAGAGGAGGCGGTAGCCGACAGCTTAGTTCCAACTCTTCGAGGCTTTGGACTTCGTATTCTCACACATTCCCGACAACCTCCATCATTTATCCATATATTAATTAAAGATATATAGTTTAATCATTATGTTTATTAGTCATTAATTCTTCGAATGTCAAATTAAGACAAGATGGAGAAAAATCCCACGTGTCGGATTTTTATAATTTTTTAATTATGTGTGTAAGCTAATTATAAACTTGAAGACCCACTCCTCCTGGTTGGCTTAATCATTGTACTCTTCAAGTTGTTTGCTTCGTTTAATCATGAACCCGGTCAGTGGAAACCGTGGTTCTATAGATATATATATATACTTTAAAATAATTTGTAGTTACGGAAATTAAAATCAATTAATTCAATGCAATTGTTTCATTAAAAAAGAAAATTAGAGATGGGATTGAAATATGACACAATTATTTGTGAAATAGCAGTAAATAAATAGAGAGAGAGCTGTAAAGGAGTGAAAACAGATGGAAAAAGAGAAGAAAATAAAAAGGAAAGCGAAGAGGTCAATAAATTTGCACTATAAACAAATATAGGTTCTTTGAATCTTTGACATTAACCCAAAATTGGTTTTGAAAATGACTTTAATCTATGCAACACTAA